ATGGGGCCCTCGGTCCTGCTCGTTTTCCTCTTCGGCGCGCTCGTCACCGCCAAGTCTGCCCACTTCCGTACCGCCCACGGTGTAAGTCGCTGACCGAGCCTCTTGTTTGAAGTCCCCCCTTTCGATAGCTAACAAAGCGAATTACAGGTCATCAGTCTCATCACAACTCTCGTCGGCCTGGGTGCAGTCCTCCTCCACCTCGCAGTCAAGGCCCGCGCACCGCCCGAACTCCCCAGATCTACCGGCTCTACGCCGCCTCCGTTGCCCCTCATGAGCCTACCCAACATCCGCCTCCTGGTCAACCAGCTCTTCCTTGCCCTTTCCTTCGCCTCCGTCATCACCGGCTTCACGGACCTGAGCTCCGTGGCGCTGTGCTTCACACAGATCGTCCCCTTCGACGTCGCGCTTGTCGTCGGCTTCGGCTTGTCAACGGTCTTTGTCTTGGGCTCCTCGATCTCGGGGCTCGACCTTGCGCTTACCGTGCGTGACATCATGAAGCGGAGAAAGGGCGGCCCGGCCGGCTCCTCGGGGGTCGTTGAGAGGGGCGGCGATGGGTTGCAGGGCAAGATCTCAGCGCCCAAGATTGTGAAGAGCAACAAAGAGAAGGGCAGTTTTATGTAATGGGGTCTTTATAAAAGTCTACCGGAGGTTCGAGACTTGGAGCTGTGCTCAGTCTCGTTTATAGATTTGATAAGGGTTCGTAATGCATCAGGTCGGTGGGGTTGGGAATTGAAAGGTTTATGAGATACCTACGGATATGAGGAGTACGGCATGGGATTGGCAAAAGCCTGCATGAGAAACGTATGTACCGGTTCACGCATTACATGACAAAGGAAGTAAACACTTTTGGGTTCGTTTGTTGTAGAAGCCACATCGGTGGCTTTCACGTTCATTATACCCCAGCTCGATTCAGGAAGCGGGCTCTGATTTTGTCTCACATTAAATTTGACCAAGCTTAGTGCCTAGTGTGCTCTCTCTGTAATTGAACATTTGGCTTTTCCTATGTGCTGCTATGTCAAACATGTCCATTTGGGACTCGTGGCTTTCTATTGGTATATCTGCTGATGAGAGAGAGAATTTGCACTTCCTTGTCTCTCCTCATAAGCCGGCAATTAGCTATTTAAAACAAGAAGACTTCGAGTCAGCCGGTGCTGGGACAATGAACTTGCGCTTCACCCATGTACCCTGCACAACATGCAAGTCCACAGTCTATCCTTCTCATACGCATCATCACTCGTCATCCCACAGATGCCAGCTACTGCTCGGCCTTACGTCCAGCACACACCGCCTCTTTCTTCGCTGTCCCACGACTTCTCTCCCGTTGCTCAAGAAGAACTCTTCCGTCTCGCCGCCGGGGGCCTGCCTCACCATGCCCAGGCCCGCGAGGTCCGTCTTGGTGCACTTCATCTTCAGGTGCCGGAAGTACTTGCGGTAAAACATGCGCTGCATGACCAGCCGGTCGGCTACGGCCCGGGGTAGATAATCCCCGAGCTGTGCGCGCAGGGCTTCCAGCGCGGCGCGCTGGCTCGCCGCGTTGGGGGGCTCGTAGTCGTTGCTCAGGAGGAGGCGGGGCACATCCCGGTAGAAGGCGTCCTTGGCGGGGATCCCGCTCGTGAGGTAGCCCTCGTGGATCATCCACACGGGGAACCGTGCCGCCGCGCGATCGTCCATCAGCTGGATCGCCTCCGTGTAGGACTCCAAGTTCGCCAGGCTCTCGGAGAGGGGCGCGCACCCCGGCACGGGGGTCAGGTCCCACGTCTCGGGCCCGCCGCGGTCGCGGGTGCCGAAGTGGCGGATCCCCACGCCCAGCGGGTCGAACGCGAGACAGTCGCTCAGGAAGATGTCGAGGGGGATCTCGCTGCTCCAGGGGAAGGTGAAGATGACGGTGTCGAAGTCCGGGTTGATGAGGACGGGCCAGGCGATCTTGTTGGTCGGGTGCATTGGCAGCTGCACGCGGTAGAACGCGCGCGTCTCGGCGCGGCACTCGCGATTCACCCACATCAGCGCCGGGAGGGTGTTGTCGGCGCTCCAGGCGATGTTGGACGCGAGGTTGCCTAGGGCGTTGGGCGCGAAGTGGATCTTTTTCAGGTCGTTCATGCATCGTATTTCGACGATGCGCGGCCGCTCCAGGTAGAACCGGAGGATCTTAGACCGGAGCTCGGGTGGCAGGCGGGAAAAGGGCTGGAACGAGGTGAGGGGCCCAGCGATGTTTCCGCCGCTGCCGCCGTTGATCGGCGGGGCGACGGGCGCTTCCGGGGAGGCGTCGACGATCTGCGCGGACGCCGAGGCCAAGGGCGGAGGGTGGGTAATCGTCCACGGGCCGTACGGAACGCCAGACCGAAACTGGAAGCGGTCTTCGGGTTTGACCGGAGTTGGCGGTCGGTGGAGGTCGATGTGGCGGCGCTGGCCACAGGTGGGACACGGGGTGGATGACGCCGACGGGAAGTTCCCAATGGATGCGCCGACGCTGATACTGAGCGACGTGGAGGACGAAGATGAGGACGACGGGGGAATGGTGGCGGCGGTCTGGGCGGTTGTGGACACCGCCGGCGAGTGTGAGGCGGTTGTGGCCGACATGGTCGTCGAGGGGTCAGAATCTGTAAGAAGAGCAGCCTCCGGCTCACCCATGCGTGCGTGTGTCTCTGTCCGTTGCCGCAGCGGGTGGTGGCTGTGGCGCCGTGTTGTCACCGCGTCGCCAAGGGTGGTTTGCGTGCCCCTCTCGATGCTGTCCTGCCCCGGGTCTTGCCTTTCTCCTTCTACTCCTCCCGCAGGCGCTACGGATGCTGAGAGCGGCAGGCCCTTGCGTGGGCGGATGCGAACCGACAGGCCTCTTAGCCAAACATTTTTCCACTTCTTGGTAAGCTGTTGCTGCTGGTGCTGGTGCTGGTTCTTGGGCCGGACATCAGAGGCTGCTGCCTTGCGGTTTGAGCTGGATGCCATGACGAACTGGCTGAGCCGGGCGAGGAGCCCGTCGGTCCTGTTGTGAGCTTGCTTCTCCTCCTCCTCCTCCTGCTGCTGGTACTGGTGCTAGTGCTGGTGCTACTACTACTTGCGCAATAGCGCGATACCAATGAAATGAAGCAATCTAGTTCACACTAGGTAGACAGGTAGACAGACAGACAAGCTGATCCTGTGATTCTCAATCACCTCGTCAGACTTGAGTGAGATAGATGCATGCGGCGGGTGCAGGAGCTGCTGGCGCGGTGGCTTGCTCGTGTCTTGGAGTTGCGGTGAGGTGAGCAGGGGTGATTTGAGCGATTGAGAGGGAGAATGGAGTAATGGAGGTCGGTCTACCCGATGATGATAATGATGGGGGGAAAAAAAGCGATATGAATCAGGGCGAATGGGAGACGCGGGGGAGGAGGAGATCTTGGTCAAGTTAAGGTTCGTCCATGTGCCCCGGCCGTGTCTGGAAAGGTCAGTGTCAAGTCAGTCAACGGAGAAGTGGTGTCCGAGTGTGTACTCCGTACAGCCAGCCCCTTAGCGCATCGGCAGTTCCTCGTCCTTCTTTTTTCTTCTTCCTTCTGATCTCAAGGAAGGATTCGTACGAGTCGGGGTAGCCGAGTCGATATGCAAGAGAAGAACTGCACCGATCTCCGCGGAAGATGAGGCAATTGGCTTTGCAGGCTTGCAGGCTCAGGTTCGGGGGACTGCGCAGTTCATTCTGGGGCGCAGGTGCTCGGACGGGGTGCCTGTTTGCCCAGAACCACCGGGGGGTAAGAAAGGGAGGGGGGAGGTCGAGGGGGCGCGACACTGAGACAAAGCTTCCCGTTGGACACTGAGGGGCTGCGATCAAACTGTATGTAGTATCCGTACTCGTAGACAAGACAGCTTTTCGCCTATCATGTGCCGCCGGCGTTAAGCCCGCCTCATGTCAAGCGGCGCTTCTTTCAGTTGTGTCCTGCACCCGGAGCAAGCTGACCTCGGCTCTTTTGTTGTTGCACCAGGAAGCTAGTTTAGTGGCAAGTAAGTGGCTCCGAGTTAGCCGGCAAACCGTTCCGACCATCTGTGCCCAATCTCAACCTTGGAACGCCGTTGCAGCGTCGCCTGGATCTCCCACGTGCTGAAACGCGCAAAGGGGGCGGGTGCGACGTTTGGCCGGCAGAATGACGCCTGCACCCAATTAGTGTCTGCAGGGCGACTTTTCCGAGCACAAAGTCTAGTAGTCCATTGATCCATAAAATGGAATACTCCTTTGCACAAAGTCTTACGTCAGACCTTCTCTTCCAGGGCTGGCCTTTTTGTTCCAGAAGATGCGTATCCGGCCTCGGATACATGGCAGGATTTGCATCCTGGAGCGATCTGATCGGCATAGAGGAAACGTTTTGGGGCCGCAATGGTCAGGCATTTGCACCACGGTACACGCTCCGGCCGAGATTCCGGGACCAAATGGGTCCGGATTGACCTCAACTCCGGCAATGTGGGTCGGCTTCCGGGGCTCGGCTCCGGCACCATGGAGCCGGACGGGTCCGCTTTTGTAACGGCGCGTACCTGCCTATCATGTATTGTTGCAGGAATACAATGACTGCACTCATACAGTTTGATGCCACGGGAGAGAAATTGACGCCTCTTTTCACAAGCTTAGTCAGTCATCACACTTGCCTGTTGAAGTACGTATTGTGCAGTGAAATACCGTATCCTCTCAGCAGATTCGTACAGCGCACAGACCATCCACTAGGCCTATATCGAAAGGCGGTCAGCCAGCCTAGCCACCCACCTACCTTTCTAACCCTAACCCTTGCCACCAAACTTGCCGCTGACGTTGACTAACCCCTGCATTTGCCACTTCTAGATCCCTGTTTCTGCCAGCCCGCTAGCCCTTATCCAGCAGCCCCTGGTCAGTGCGGTGTACGGATCTACTGAGGATACAGTATGCGTTCTTGATAGTCTGAACAATTCTCCTTGAGCAAGTCAGATTCAGTCACACTTACTGATACTCCACAAATATGAAAAGCACAGTCAGAGCATATTTTCACAACGAAGATAGTGGATAAATTACTGTGGTGAAAGACACGCTTTATTGTCTAGTTCATCAAATCATTTCTTAAAAAGTCCATCCACAGCCGAGCAGAGAGTGCCTACAGACAGATTCTCACCAAGCGAGGCATTCGAAGTAAAAGCCATCACCCGTACCCCAAACCGCCAGATCAAACCAAACACCCCCTAATATGTATTAATGTGACCCCCAAAAAGTCGCCCATCGAATGAAGTGAAAGTGTGACCAATCATGTTCACACGAGGGTTCCTTAAAGGATGAGAGCAGCAGCGGCGACGCTGAGGACGAAGGCGCCAAAGGTGGCGACGAAATTGCTGGCTCCAGCAGTCACAACGGTGACAGGCTTGCCAGTGCCCGAGGGCGAGGCAGGAACACCAGTGGCCATAGAGCCCTGGGACCCACCCGGACCCTGGGGCTGGCCAGGAACGGCCGGAGCGCCAGGTGCACCCGGGGCGCCGGAACCAGGAGCACCCGGAGCGCCAGGAGCACCCGGGGCGCCTGAACCAGGAGCACCCGGAGCGCCAGGAGCACCCGGGGCGCCTGAACCAGGAGCACCCGGAGCGCCAGGAGCACCCGGGGCGCCGGAACCAGGAGCGCCAGGAGCGCCAGGGGCACCAGGAGCACCCGGGGCGCCGGAACCAGGAGCACCCGGAGCGCCAGGGGCACCAGGAGCACCCATGGCGCCGGAACCAGGAGCGCCAGGAGCACCCGGAGCGCCAGGAGCACCCGGGGCGCCAGGAGCACCCGGGGCGCCAGGAGCACCCGGGGCGCCAGGAGCACCCGGGGCGCCAGGAGCACCCGGGGCGCCAGGGCCAACCGGGGTCTGAACTGGGGGCTGAACCGCGGGAGGAGTGGTCTGGTAGGGAACCTGGGTGACGGGAGGAGGAGTGACAGTAACGGTGGTGCAAGAAGCGCCGTTGCAGGTGACGGTGGTCGTGCAAGGCGGCTGGACGACATAACCGCAGGTGCTGCAAGGAGGAGCAGGGGCGGGACAGCTGCCATCGCAGGGCTTGACAAGGTTGTACTGGCCGTTGGAGTACTGGTACATGTTCATGGCCTCGGAGGCAGAGCAGGGCGTGAACATGCAGGAGCCGTCCATGCATTGGCACTTCTGATTGCAGAGGTCGCCGGAGCAATTCTCAGCCTCACAGTAGTTGCCGTAGCAAGTAATCTTCTGGTCGTACTCCATCATGCCCGGGGTGGCGTAAACACACGTGCCAGAGTTGCAGACAATCTTGCGGCCACAGTCGGGACCACCATTGCAAGCCTCAGGACGCCAGACACCCTCGCTGTAGACGACACGACGTCCGCACTCGGGTCCGAAGCAGCCGAAGTTGAAGGTACAGTACTGACCGTAGCAGTTGATGGTCTTGTAGCAGTCATCGCCGTAGCACCTGTTGCTGGAGGGGATGCCGGTAGGGACACCGGTGGGGATGATGGATCCGTTGGAGCCGGTGGCAACACCAGTGACGGAGGCGCCGCCACTGGGGATGACGCCGGTTCCGGTGCTGGCACGGACGTAGATGGTGAAGCGGACGTTGGCGGCAATGATACCGGCGAGCTGGCGCTTTGCAATGGAGCCGAAGACACCACCGCAGCGCTGGGTGGAGGGGGAGCCACCGCAGGGGATGTTGCACTGGTCGTCAGCGACCTTGACCTCGTTGACATCGTCAATGGCGTCACCGCAGAAGCAGTCGTTGGCATAAGTGGCAGCGAAGCGCTTTCCGAGAGGCGTGCAAACACCAATGCATCGGTCGTTGGTCATGGTAGAAGCAGACTGAGCAATGGTGAAAGTCGGGAAGCTAGAAGGAGACCTGTAGCAACCGAGGTAGACGAAGACACCGACGTTGATGGGGTTGACGACACTAGAAGACGGGGTGGCGGTGCCCGAGGCGGAAGCAGTGCCAGTGGAAGTGCTAAAGGTGGACGAGGGCAGGGTGCTGGAGCCGGAGGAGCCCGAGACGGAGGCGGAGCCAGAGACGGAACCGGTGACAGAGCCGGTGCGAGAAGCACTGCTGGTGGCAGAGCCAGAGACAGAGCCGGAAGATCCCGAGACGGAGGCGGAGCCAGAGACGGAACCGGTGACAGAGCCGGTGCGAGAAGCACTGCTGGTGGCAGAGCCAGAGACGGAGCCGGAGACAGAGCCAGAGACGGAACCGGTGGCAGAGCCGGTGCGAGAAGCACTGCTGGTGGCAGAGCCAGAGACGGAGCCGGAGGCAGTGGCAGACATGGTCGAGGACGAGGAGAAACCCGGGGCGGGGGCGCCCTGGAAGCCCTGACCAACGGTGCCCTGGCGACGTTGCACACCAGTGGCGGGACAAGTAACGGAGGTGGTGGTGGCGGGGTTAAAGCTGGCACCGCAGTTGCAAGTGTTGCTGACGAAAAAGCTGAGGATGCTCTGGCCGTAGGCAGTGACGCAGTTGTTGAAGCAGGATTGGCTATCAGTACCGGAGGCGACTTGGTTGTTCAGGAACGGAGCGCCCGTGACAGACCTGCAGCCCAAGTTGACCAAGATCACAACGTCGCCATTTGCAAGACGAACATAGGCCGACGAGCCGACCGGCATATTCTTGAGTTGGTCGAACGACACGACGTTGGGGCTACTGGGGGTGGGATTCTGGACTCCGTTGTTAGGCGTGCTGACGGCCGATGAACTGGCAGCAGCGGCACTGGAGACACCGCTGCTGGCAACGGGAGCTGAGCCCGAGGCCGGGGCACCGCTGGAGGCCGGGGCACCGCTGGACGCAGCACCGCTGGAAGCCGGGGCACCGCTGGAAGCCGGGGCACCGCTGGACGCAGCACCGCTGGAGACGGGAGCGGCGCTCGAGGCAGCATCGCTGGAGGCGGGAACGGAGACGCTAACGGGAATGGAGACGCCAGCGGACGAAGCGGCGCTGGAGACGGGAGCAGAGACGCTAACGGGAATGGAGACGCCAGCGGACGAAGCAGCGCTGGAGGCGGGAGCAGCGCTGGAGGCGGCAGCAGAGCTGGAGGCGGCAGCAGAGCTGGAGGCGGCAGCAGAGCTCGAGGCGGCAGCAGAACTGGAGGCGGCTTCAGAGCTGGAGGCGGCAGCAGAGCTGGAAGCGGCTTCAGAGCTGGAGGCAGCAGCAGAGCTGGAGGCGGCTTCAGAGCTGGAGGCGGAAGAAGAGCTGGAGGTACTCTGGGCGGCAGTCGTCGCGAATAACGCGAAGATGCCCAAGGCAGCCGCACCTCGGCGAGTGAACTTCATTGTCGTGGAGTGAAAGAATGGACGTGCAAGGCAAAAGACCAATACACTAATGCGAAAAGCGAGCGAAAAATAAGTATGATGAGAAACGAGCGTAGGTAGTTGGAACCTTTGATGTTGTTGCTGCAGAACAAAAACCGAGAGAGAGAGGACGGCGTCGACGCACACTTATATATCTTTTCGTCCTCGTCGTCCTCGTCCACCAAAACCATGTATATCTGCGTATCATACTTCTTTGAAAGGCACATTCCTGTTTCTCCCGCTCACCACCTTCCCCTTGCTTCGCTATCGCCTATCCCCAAACACGACCGACAAGATGAGTCTGCGTGCCTGACACCAACGCGCTCCCTCCTCAACAACCGCCCCTTAGCCTGCCTTCATGTCTCGACCGCCATTTTCTCTCCATTTACCTCTAGCATGTCTCATCCTCTCTGCTAACTTCTGACCTTGAACCAGGCGGTCAGGAATGGATCGCTCGCCGGAGGAACTCGTTCGATGGCAATGTCTCACCTTCTCCGCCATCCAATTGAGGGAGAAGACCTCAACAAGGGACCAATCAATAACTCCGACTAAGGAACGAGAGACAGATCCACTACTTCTGATCCCCTTTTACACATGTATTTCTCTCACGCACAAGCTTGGGGACTGAGTCTCGTCTGTGGCGCTCCCGTCGCCGCCGCCCTCTCGAGCCTTTCCATTGACGACGACATACAACTTCGCCATCCCTAGGCCAAAGCTTTTGCTTGGAATTCGTGAGATTGCCCCTTCATCAGCTGGTCCAAATCTCCGTCCCCCCTGTCCCCCATCCCTGGAACTCCCGCTCTTCCGGTCCGTCTGCCCCTGTCTATCACCGCGAGGCTCTCGATCTCCCGATCCATTGGGATCACCAACCGGTGAGCGAGTCATACTCGTCGAGTAAACGGTCTCGGCCTGTTGAGCCTTTCAAGCGGTGCCGGGAACCTGCGGCTCTAATGCAACATGTTCTCCCTGACAGACGCATATTTCTTTTTCCTGGCACTAAGTCGTACAGTAAGGGAACATGACGGCACCACCACTACCAAAAAGGCCATGTGCTTACGGCATGGATAAAAAAGTATCCGCTTTGCTTACATTAGCCCAGTCGTTCCAGGCACTGGGTTCTCTCAAATTTGCCCAAATACGTTGAGGCGAACTTCCAGACCGTCGTGGAACTCGACCAATTTTACTAACCAATGCAAGTGACATGGACAAGATTCCAAGGCGGCATCTCCTTCATGTATCATTTGTTAGACTCGACGACCCAAAAACATGGCACTCTTTACTAAAGGGGCCTTCCTCTCCTAACACCTCTAAAGTTGAAAAGCCGTCGGTTGAAGTGGTTTCCGGAATTTCTACGCCTTCCCCGATGAATGCTTAGCCAAATGTCTGGACCGATGAACCTCACCGCCTCCATTTCCAATCGCACAGTCAAAGAATATCTATGACTCCTCGCCCGAAATATGAACGAGCCCACCATACCTGGACTCTTCAATGGAAACATAGCAGACATACGCCTTTAAGCCAATGACAAGTTAACAACTCCCTTACCAATCGTGTAGTATCGTTGCGAGGGACATGTAGTTGTTGGCCGTGATAATAACTTAACATCACCTAGACAGTAATAAAAATGAGGTCAAGCAAACGAGCTGCATACATGTGATAGTGGGAATGAAGACAATTCTTGTTTTGAAGCCGGTCCTCGTCAGGTTAAATGTTAACAAACCCTAGGTCGATCATACCAGCCACAAATGAGGCTTCAGTGACTTAATGGCAGCTAGTACTTTCTGAAAAGGAAAACGCTTAATGGTAAACGTGCTTCAGACCCTCATTTTACCTGCATCCCTATCCCTTAGTCAACAGAGAGCCAACCATGTATCGTGAAGCTGAGAATAGCTTTGCGTGGCTAGTATCAGTCGTAGCCGCGGCCACAGACGTCGTAATATATTGTCAACTATATGCACAGACCACCTCATGGGGGTATTTATACCAGACATCCCCCCTTCCTGCGTAGTTCCTCTGGAGGACAAATACTTCATCTTCTTTTTAGCAGACGCTTGCGGTTGATCGGATCACGACAGCGGTTACTCCCTTGAATTAGTTCATGGTAACTGAACAAGGCGATGTGCACCAGCCACCGACTTTTAGCATACTCCCCATGGTGTTTTTCTATTCCCGTTGACTAGCCATTATACACATATCAGCATATTCGGAATTGGCGCCCCGGATGCAAGCAGTACATGATAACCATGCCCAAGATAGCCACTCGATTCAAACTCCAATATGACTATAGGCCAGGTGACACTCGAGGATTCCAGATTCCCCAATAGATAAGGCCCCGTTTCTGTTTCGTGTCCACGAGAAAAAGTTCGGTGAGGAGCGTCTGTAGGCTTGATACCCAATGCTCTGGCCATGGACAAACAAAAAGTCAATTATTTCATGTGACAGCCCGACGGCGCAAATTGTTCCTCGTCTGCCAGGAGCAAGATCTTTAACTGGTGAAACCCCCATACAGCGTACGTGATTGCTGATCACCAATTGAAAAGAAGGTGGGTCGTCGCACCTTTGATATCAATAGATCAGCCCAACTTGAATGGCGGGGCGCGGACTGGACATCTTCTCATCGAGTTTCCCAAAGCCGTCAACGCAAATGTGAAAGTGCCTGGCTATGCTGTAAAACCACCAGCAGCACCTACACCCTGTTTGGACCAGCTACTGCGCCTGTCAGAAGCTGCTTTGCTGTCCGAATGGTCTTTAACAATGCTGTTGAAGTTTTTGTGCGCCTCCATCTTGCGGGTGGTGCGATGAACGGCCCTCAATTCGGATATTCCGGCTGTCCTTGACAATGAGAATTAGTAGACGTGTCTCCGCAGAGAGGATGAATGTCTCCGCGAGCTTTAGTAACCTGCGCTTGAGAACATTGTCCGTGAGCTCGCCGCCTAATCTTTGGTTTAAGCTTACCTGGGAAAATGGACCATGAGTTGAAAATCCCGGGGCCGTAACACCCAAGAAAATCTCGGGGTGTCCAGAATGGCTATCGACAGGTCACTTCTCAGGTTGACCTGGAACTGCCAGCATAACGTCTACATTTTCTTACGTTGCTCTATGTTTAAGCTGATAAGTTTCCTTCCCTAATCTGAGGTGGCGCGGAGTTGATAGGGACAGGGCTGCGCAGGAGAGGATGGGGAATGTGGGTCGCAACGGGTGCTGATAGGTCTATCCCGCAGTTCAGCTGAAGATCGGCCGGGTGAATTATGGGATGCGGGTGTTTCTCCGTGGTCTGATAGTCTTTGCACTTTGCAAAGCCTGTCTTTTGGAACATCGGGGCAAAGGTTCCGACCAAGGTAAAGTAAGAAACCGTTCAACAAAACACAAACAGTTATACACGAACGACAAGGTATCTGGAACAATTTATGGTAGTTGCTGCCCAGGAACTCTGTTCGCGAACAAGAATTAATAAGGGACTGGTCCTTGTATCCTTCTAACACGGCTTCGTATCCACTTGTATACTAGTCTTCTCGAGCCAATAGCCACTTAGGAGCCTGGTTAGGACTCTTCCGTGGTCCTCTGCTGAGGAGAGCAACTGAGTATAGTTGTACAACACACACTCAGCTTGGCTACAAAGACAATAGTCTCAAATGACTTGCGGAAAACCAATCAAATAAATAAGTTACTATCACAGCTCTAGGTTCCTTGTCAACCACTGTCGCTCGGCTTATTCTGTTGGCTGTTGGGAAGAGAGGCTTTTCCCGTTATAGTTTCCCCACCTGACCAATGTAACCATGAGTCGGGCGCGAAGTCGGGTGCAGAGTCACGAGTGTTCGTATCGAAACCAATGAGTTACATATGAATTATCCAATATGCAAAATAACCGTATTTCTGAAGTTGATCCAAGGCTTCCGAAAGTTCGACATTTCAGCCGAGCCTTCAAAAGGGATGGTTAGCTTGACGTATCGACAGCTCGCCTGCGAGATGCCTACTCGTCCCCTGTTGTATCCGTATGTCAGTTTCTCGAGTCTGAAAGCTTCTGTACATACTAGTAGCCACAAGGTCTACCTCCTATCTTTTCCCGCACACGCTCATCCGAAAGGGGGACAGCGTTGCATAGACAAGGTAGCGGCCGTGGACAACCTTTCTGAAGCGCTGATGCTGTTTCTCCACCTGTGTCACGACGGATGCATTCGCCACCTGAAACCTTGGGCTAGAGGTGCAGGTAAATAGCCAAGCCAATATTTCAACGGCCGACAAAAAGGTCACATATGCTGCGTGTGTTGTTCCTGCCATGACTGAAGATGCTGTGACTGGCTGACGGTTATTATGGCGACTGAGACTACGTCGCGCCATGATTGTAGAGCTATATCCAAAATACCTAGCGTCGAAAATAACGGGGAAGAAAAGATTTCCGTCTTTTCTCACAAGTTGTCGGATCTACTAAAAGAGCCAGAAATCAAGTATATAAAGTGGCCGGTTGCCCGTCTCCAACCAACTTTTCGTCAGCACCAACAGTCTTCTGCTTCATTATCCACTCACCCAGACCGATCAAACTCTACCTTTGTAATCGTCAAGAACAAATCTTGCTACCAGCACCAAAGTTCAAAATGCAGTTCTCTGTTGCCCTCGTTGCTCTCTTCGCCGGCGCCACCATGGCCGCTCCCACCACCGGGAGCACAACTCCTGCCTACATCCCTTGCTCTGGAGCTTACGGCAGCGCCCAGTGCTGCTCTACCAGCGTCCTTGACCTTGCCGACCTGACCTGTAGTCCACGTAAGTTTTCCATCGCTGTCTGCCTATCGGAGCATCCATCTAACGGCCGAACCACAGCTCCGAAGGTCCCTACCTCCGCCGCCAACTTCGGCAAGATCTGCGCCGACATCGGACAGCGTGCTCGCTGCTGTGTCCTCCCTGCTGTAAGAAACTCATCTTGACTGTGCCCCTCGGTCGAAAGATACTGACGTTTTATGTCAATAGCTTGGCCTGGGTGTTCTCTGCCAGACTCCCGTAGGTGTCATTTACTAGGTGATTGTGTCCGGGATCTAAGACCTGGAACTCATTCGATGATGGCTTCGCATCAGCGACCACCAGAAATTTTCATTGCCCCACGTGTGCAATGCCATCTGACGATCGGGATGTAACTACAGCTCGGGGCTCAAACACACCGTTGAAGGAATGGCAATCATAGACGATTTGAAGCCTGCCTCTATTGAATGTTAGAATCACTATAATATACCTTGGCCTCTATGGACCACTCTCCGGAACCACTCATATAAAGTGACGATTGTCCACCGTAAGAAGCTTCAAAGCCTTTTCTGCTACGGTTTGAAGGCTCTATGATGCGCGTGAAAGGAAAAATACAATTATCAAGGTATATAGAATATGACAAAGCGATGCATTCTGGCTCAGAAAACACAGCCAGAGTTACAAAAATGTCATGCACTAGCTTTCGAGATCTGACCAACATCAAATCCATGGCCGTATGCGGAGGTTACCTCAAAATAGTCATCACATATGATGATTTCATGGCTGCATACGAGCTCAAGTGGTTCTTCTTTTCCCGGGTCTTTATTGGTGGGGTCTCTCAGGATTGTGTCGCCAAGAACCTCCGGCCTGAAGCTTTGCGTCTCAGATCTATCATTTCTGTGCAAAAGCTGGGCAAAGGAGCAAGAGTCCGTGACCCCACCTCCTTAGCTTCAGAGCTGGCACGCAGAAATGCATTAGAAGCAACAATGTATGTGTCGTGATATAAGCCGTAATTGCGCAGTGGCAATTACGGATCCGCTTTTGTCATCACAGTTATGAGCCCGCTCTACCCTGGACCTCTGTGTGCCTTAACGGCATGCGCATGTGCTATATCAGAGACCCCCACAATTCCGAGGGGCCCAGGTTCGAGCACTGTTCGAGGCAGTTGAAAACACCACCTATACTTTGGCGAGATGTACCCAATTAGAAGGTATTAAGAAGAGTGTTCTATATTACCAGCCTTCCGACAGATATGTCGTAAACCTGGGGGGGTGTGTCGTGATATAAGCCGTAATTGCGCAGTGGCAATTACGGATCCGCTTTTGTCATCACAGTATGCTTGAAGGAAACAACCTTAATGGCTTGCGGTTTGCGCTGATACGAGTTTGCTCTAATTGAACGCTCGGGGGCCGGCAAAGATTCAAGTCACCAGTTGTTCGGTGGTGAGCGTGAATGAGAAACCATAAACAGTTGACAATAGGGCGGCCGCCAAGGAGGTTGGCGAGATGCAGGGGTGGGAGGGGATTCTTCGGGGTTGCGTCTGAGAAGCGTCAGTAACTAGGCTTACCTGGCTTATAACATGTCGCTGAGGTTGGCTTGGGAATCTATCGAGTCCAGAGATCCGTAGAGCCCGAAACAAGCGGTTTTCATTGGTCAGTAGGGAATTGATAATTGGCCAGTTGCCGCTGCCAAGTTGTACGGCGGAATGCTTGGGGTGAGTAACCTGAACCTACTCCGATCTGGCTTCGGCTACTCCCGATGGGTTCAGGTGAGGATTGCTTCTTTCAAATGGCATGTCTTGACCGGATAACATCGAAAACTACCGGTAAGCTATGGCTGGCCAATTGTTAGAATCTAGGGGCTAGCAAGCTCTCGGCACATTATGGTCCTTACATACCAGAGGCAAAAGACCTATCAACCCACATAAAGTGACGGCAAGCCCCGTAGTCGCGAAATTATCGTACACAATTGAAATGAAAGTGAGATTGGGAAGCAACGTCCAGATGTGCTATAAAGTGCGATGGGCAGTAATCCTAGTATTAGTTCGCTATTGGTATTGACTTGTCTCGAGGTCTTGTGATTTTTCGGCCGTAAGTTGTAAGTTGTAACAAACCCTTGGATAGAGACTCGAACCTCCTTTGCCAAAATCTCAGGCGGGATTCGCATAGCTTCAATTCATTCAAAATGATACTGGTCATTGCTAGAGTCAGCTGTCAAACTCAGGCCCGTTGGAATGACGAAAAAGAAAAGAAAAAGGTAAACAGCGAAATTTAGATAGACAGTGACGAAGGCTCAACATGTCGATGACTTGGAAATTCAGCTGATGTTTGTTCCTGTAGCATCATGGGGATCCCCAGTTGGCAAAGTGGGGAGCGCTCGGTGAGGGCGGCATTATCTCGGTGACTACACCGACGATAAGATAGCGGGTCCCACCGGCCGAACCCAAAAATTTGACCTTTGCAAGGAACTTTTTCCCAGGTACAGTCAACACTACCTACATACATATTCCCCAAACACGACGTCCTCTGATCAAAACGCCAATTGTCTTGCCAGGCGACTCACAACAATGGCCGGAACAGCAAACCAGAAGAGGAAAAATGACGGCCGACTCGCGCCCCCGTCCAAAAAGCAAAAACGACAAGACAAGAAGCAGGCGGGGCCCGCCTCGGAGGACGAAGACCAAAGTTTCGACGCTGTGAACCTCCTCGACTCAGACGATGATGACATCCTCAACGCCAACGTCGACGACGGTGCCGTCTCGGACGACGACGATGACGATGGTTCAGTGAGCTCCGCCGACGAGCGCCCGGCGTCGAAAAAGATGAAGACAAAACCCGCCCCCCCGGCGTCGAAGAAGAAGAAGAGCAGAGACGCGCCCGCCGGCACGGACTCGGACTCGGACGAGGAAGAGGAGAGCGGCGACGACGGCGAGGGCGCGCCGCAAAGGACCAAATCCAAACGCAACGACCCGTCGGCCTTTGCGACGTCCATGTCCAAGATCCTCGCGACCAAGCTCACGACGGCGAAGCGGGCGGACCCCGTGCTCGCCCGCAGCGCCGAGGCGCACGAGTCGGCGCGGGCGGCCGTCGACCTGGCGCTCGAGGCCAAGGCGCGCAAGCAGCTGCGGCAGCAGAAGAAGGAGGCGATGGAGCGCGGCCGCGTGCGCAACGTGCTGGTGGCGCCCGAGACGGAGGGCATGTCGACGGGGGACATGATTGAGACGGAGAGGCGGCTGCGCAAGGTCGCGCAGAGGGGTGTCGTCAAGCTCTTCAACGCCGTGCGCGCGGCGCAGGTCAAGGCCGTCGAGGCGGAGAAGAAGGCCCGCCGGGACGGCGTGGTGGGCGTGGTGAGGAGGGAGGAGAAGATCAACGAGATGAGCAAGAAGGGGTTCCTGGACCTGATTGCGTCCGGCGGCGGGGGGCTCAAGAAGGGCGCGTTGGAGGAGGCTTGAGAGCACGCAAAGAAAAGAAGATGGAAAAATGGATGGATGGATGGATGGATGCCAGTGCCGGGTGTGGCTTACGGTTTCCTCTTGTCGTTGACATACCGACCCTGTACAGGATTATGAGCTTAGAGGAGTGATGTTATTTCCCTCCCATCGTCCCTTGATACCCGCCGAATATCCAGCATAAGCTAAGCCGAGCCGACGTGTATCCCCAACCGTGATGTCGCGCTTCCTTGAAGAACACGACTTTGCGCACGAGATCCACGTAACACCCCTCCGTCCCTTTTTAATGCCGTGGAATATGTAACAGTATAGTACAGGTGATTCAAACAGCGCGGGCGAGGTATGCCGCATCCAACGCTCGCCAAAAATGCTCGAGATTCCTCGTGTCTTATTTGAAGTCGCTGGCCTGGAGGTTCCGCGTCATGGAGGGCAGCTTGACTTTGAGGCCGTCCAGCTCCTTGGTCATCGTGACCTGGCAGCCGAGCCGACTCGTCTCGGTCAGGCCAAAGGCGAGGTCGAGCATGTCGTTCTCGTCGTCTTCGGGCTCGGGCATCTTGTCGTAGTATCCCTCGTCGGCGACGATGACGTGACAGGTCGAGCAGGCGCAAGAGCCTCCACAGGCACCTAAACTCTGCTGTTAGCCGGATGCCGTCCAGTGCTAGCCATGACTTCTTGGAAGGGCGGCTGCCTCTACATACCCTCCATCTCCAAGTCATTGTCTTGGGCGATATCCAGTAGGTTATCACCTTCGCTGACGGCAATCTTGTGCTCGTCGCCATCCTTATCGACAAAGGTCACCCACAGCCTGCGGCAACAGTCAGTCGAAGGATTCCCATACAATCATGGTCCGTGGCCCTACTCTTCGCCGGGCTTGGGAGGGGTGAGATGGTTGTGCGGCCTGACGGCCGAGACGGAGAAGCTGCGGACCGAGGGCCATTGGACCTGTCCGGGGACGAGCTGCGCAGGTCTCTTGGGCGCCGTCGTGCTGTGAATGTTTCGGCTGTGTCGTTGCAGCGGGCGGGCCTGTCGGCAGGCGCCAATGGCTACCCTGCAGAGGGTTGCGCCGAGTCTCGCGGAGGGCATGGCCGCTTGGTATGAGTCCGTACCAGCCGGGGATTATTCTCGGGCGAGGGCAAAGGGCGTTGAGTAAAAGGCGCACCGGAGGGGTTCGATTGCAACGGAGGGGAAGGGAGAGAAAATCCAATGTCAATTCGACCAGGTCATCGCCATGCGCAAAGGATCCGAGTTGAACCGCTGCAGCTAATGATGCTGGTTGTTGGCTGGTGTCTCTCCACGGGGTGGCGCCTGCAAGCAGTGACAAAAAGTTGTTGGAAAGCTTCGCAAGGGCCCCTGTGGAGATGGATTGGATTCATGGAAATTTCCATAGGCTGTCACGGCCTGCGGTAGCTCCGTCGGGACCCGCAGCTGTCGGCCTTATCGGCCGGCGAATGGCGATGTTCCGACTCCGGGACCCCCTCCATTGTGTTTGCTCGTTACAGGGGAATGGACTTTCAGCTCCTAGCGCCTAGCGCCAAGGAAGGCAGGCGCGTTAAGTCCAGCCTACCTACCTCTACCTACCTAGGTACGGAGTAGTTGTCCCCCAAACGGCCCCTCCAACGTCCTGTCTTTTCGGAAGACGGTACGGATAGTTTATTCCACAAGGTACTATTATCAATGTACATAGCAGCCTCAAACCACCGCCGACCCCCTATCCGTCCATCTGCAACAGCAACACATAGCGACGACCAGTACGCAGAGTCCAAACAAGTCCTAGACCAATGCGACTCACCCTTCCTTCTTCTGCTCAAACAGCTTTCGTCCTCGCTCCCGCCCAGTTCACGTGATTGCCGGCACGTTGTAGCGGCGGATGGCTGCTTCATTACTCAGTCGTACCCTGTCAGATACCACCACACCATAAAAAAACTCTGTCACGCTCGTAGCCTGTAAAGGTAGCCCTCGAGTCGCCGATTCCCCTTGATCATGGGATGAGGCCATTCGCAAGTCATGGCCATCTTTGTGTCGAGCTGACGCCTGCGCGTCGGCATCTTGCGGAACTTAGGAGTCAATACTTGCCCCAGGAAAAAAAAAAAAAAAAACAAGGTACGTGTATACAGCAATCTGTGTATCAATTGATTCATGTGCGCTGAGGAGAGTTATTCTCGGCTCAAGGCCCTCTGCCTGTATTGCCCTACTGTGGGCAACATGCTCCTTATACATCGAACCCGGGTGGCTTCGTGGAAGAAGTTCGTCCCTGCTGCGTACACCGACCCTTCCCCCCCTCCTTGCGTTTCTCTCTCTGCGAAATCTTTCCTACGACCCCTGATATGTGCCGAAGGCCATCTCGTCTCGACAGCGCCTACTTCCTGGCCGAGTACGCCTGGAGCCAGAAGCCCAGGAAAGCATAACCTCCCGCACAGCGCACGTTCGAGTTGTTTGGGATCATGTACACGTAGCCGCCCTGGTTGGGGCAGTAGCCAAAGCCGTATACTACAGGATTTCCAGTGGGCGAGCCGCTCGACTCGCAGCCGCCGTAGTATTCGTCCGCGTTGCGGCCGACGTTTCTGCAGGTGATCGGGTAGTTCCCCTCGCGCTGCACGTCGCTATACACCTTATCGTTGGCGGTGGCCGGGTCGGGCTGGTAGTAGTCGACGAGGGTCTTGTCCGGGCTGTTATAGTTACGCATCTGCCCGGCATTGTCGACGTAGAAGGGCGTGGCCGCCGAGGCGTCGCGGACCAGACGCAAGGCGCCGCTGCCGTCGACCGTCACGTACAGGCTCCTGTCGCCGGACCCTTGCAGGAGAAAGGCCGCGGGCGTGTTGGTGGGCGTGAAGGCGGCCTGCACGGTACTGGTGCTGGTCACGGTGACGACCGCGGCAGGCAGCGTCGTCGTCGCGGCGGCGATGCCGTCGCACGAGCAGGCGGACGAGTAGCGCGCCGTGGGGACGAGCGTGCCGATGGTGGCCTTGCAGGCAGTGTCGATGTAAGCAGGCATGCTGCTCGGGCGGCTCTGCTCGGGGGTGCATGACGCTGCGGCGGCGGCGGCGGCGGTGGTAGTCAACGCGGCCTGGCGGCCCTCCAGCTCCTCGCGCTTCACCTTCCTGAGGCCCGGGTAGGGGTTGGCCAAGGTGGTGGTGAAGGACGTGACGACGGCCGTCTGCGTCACGGTCGAGGCGCAGGGCGTCTCGGTGACTTGCATCCATGAGGAACAGTCGGCCGATGCCACCGCCGGCCCGGGCCGGGAGCCGATGACGGCACGGAAGCAGTTGTCGCGGTTGCACGCGGCCTGGCGGCCAAAGAGCTCGTCCATGGGGGAGGCAGCCACACCAGCGATAGTGCCGCCGACAAGGGCGGCGAAGAGCGAGGACTTCATATTGAAAGAGAAGAGGAGAAAGAGGTCGAGGAAGGCGGGCAGGTTTCTTGGCCGGTAAGCGACGTTGTCTTGGAAGCTGCTTCGGTTGAGATGCTGCGAGTGTGACGAGCTACAAGTCCAAATCCTCATGATGGCGAGCTGTTCTTATAGACGATCATCGTGACATCTCGACCTAAGTTTCATAAAGCCATCCGCCAGGCACGTATCGCATGGCATGGCTTGGACGGCGAGGCTGGAGCTGAACAGCTTCAGCAAGCCTCATCGCTTCGCTTGGCTTGTTTTCATTTCCTACCCGACTGCTCAGCAAGCCCCATCACCTTGCTTTATCCTGACTCAAGCTTCGCTTGTGTCTCCTTTGGGAGAAGCCGTCCGTGACCGAGTAGCCCAAAGGGGGAGAGGGGAGAAACACGGGCTGAGGAGACGGTCCGCAGCTGAACAGCCAGGAGAGGTCAGCAAGCCTCAGCTCCTACCTCCGATACAATATTGAGGGTTGAGGATATCGTGGCTGGCTTTCGGGGCGTCCGAATCGGGGCAAACCAAGAAAGGCATGGAGTGCGACGAGAAGAACGAAAAAATTGGCTTGTAGCCGAGTAATAAGTCACCAGATTCCAGCAATATGTCACATGTGTGTGTCTCTCTCTCTCTCTCTCTTTTTCTCGCGCCAACGGACTCGACCTCTTCTTGAGAAACGCCTTCGTCGCACGCCACCATCTTGACGGCTACGGGAAACCTACTGCGGGTGTAGTCGCCGTACAGGAACCAACCAAGCCGTTACGCTGACGGCACAGCGCCACTTTCCCACTTTCCCTCCCCACCCGTGGGCGCCACGGGGTACTAGCACAAGCTGAGTCGTCTGGCAATTTTTTCCATCCAGATTTAATTTCCCCTCGGCCTCGAGACTCAATATTCTACAAACGCTTTGCCGCGTTGAGGAGCTCCAGCTGGTCAAGGGAGGTAGGTAGGTTTGTAGCCTTTCCTTTACTGATGCAGGAACCGCTCTTCCGTTCCACGCTAGAGAGGAAATGACCATTGGGCCCCACATACCACGGGCTACTCCGAGACTATTGCGATTGCGGCTGGCTGTTGTTTCTCTTAGCCGCAGGGTCTAGATGCTCGGTTTCGTTCCTGTGGCTCGGTGGGGGGCTTGGAGATGGTAATAGATCTCGCACACCCGCATACCTAAGCAAGTAGGTTGGGTAAATAGGTAGGTAGGTAGGTAGGCGGGATTGCCATAATAGCGGCCATGATCCGCTTTTTGTACCTAGATTTGACAGCAGTCAGTTGCGAGTTGTTGGTAGGAGTCGCAGCGCGTCGCCCCTCCTCGGATGGTGGTTCAAATCTCAAATGCTCCGACCGTCCGACTCAACCCTAGTCATCATGGCTTAGAAGCCGGACCTCGACCAAAAGCAACACCTTGATCTCGATTGTCTTCCTCACCTTTGTCATCCTTGACTCCTTCTTCCTCGGCTGTTTGGGTCAGGGTCCCCCCCATCTTCAACTGTCTACTGTTCCCGAAGAGCATGCAAGTGATTTTGACCATCAACCATTCATATTTGGAAGACGACTGGTGCCCGTGCCAATATCATTTGCAACAACGAATGGCGTGAAACAACGCCTGATACGCTTAACCGTGTTGATGAATGATGAGTTACATCGGCATGCGCCTTCTGGTCGTGTCATGTCGTAGAGATCGAAGAGAAGAGACGTCACACACAGCGTGGCTTGATAGACTGTGCATTCAGATGCGGCGGGAAACGGTCGAACGGAGTGCGGTTGACTGTGGGGGCCGTATCCGTACAATTAGAACCTATATTTCTCGGTGGTCGCTCACGAACTGACTCGATTGCCTGCCCTACGGCGGCGTACGTAGGCCCTTAAAGGTAGTGGCGGACCCTGAGGTACGTGGGGTATGCAGCGATAATCCCCAGTCAATTGCTGGTGTATTGCTTGTAAGTCTGTGGCTCATTTGCCGCAACTTCTCCGCGCCATGTGGGACTATTAGAGGCAACCTACAGCCTACAGGATTCAGCTATTATGCTCAGGAAACCGCAAGGGCACCTGGTGCGATAATCAGGTGCTTGAATGTGGCTGGAGAGGAATTTGCCCTATCGAGAGCACCAAGGCCGTTGACGTCACTGATCAGGACGCTTGACCCCGCTACCGACCGGCCTGACATAATTCGCTAGGGAAATAACTTTTGACTTCAACCACTTTAAGAATTTAGGCAGCATATCTAGTAAAAGTACTCCGTAGTGTGATAAAATAAGAGGGCTTATAGAAGAGTTGTTGCTGTAGTGTAATACGTAGCACTAGAGCCCTAGAAAACTCCAGGCCCAAGCTTAGTTACTTATCTAAGGTAGTGCACTACTACCTAGGTAGGTAGGGACTCTGGGTACGTACCGCGAGTACGTACCCAGTATTACTGTCCCGGGAAGGAACCGGCGGGCCCCGCTAATCTTATCTCCGAGGTAATCCCATTTCATCATGCAAAATTGGGAGCAAAAGTAGAAAGCTCTCGAAATCATGCACCACCACAGCTGAGTCTCAGCAGCCTCCGAATCGACCATCATGGCTTCTCATCGAGAAGGGGGGGTGAACCCCTTGAGACCATACTACAAGCCGCCGACCATAGGAGAGCCGTCCGATCCGACCTCCGCCTCATCTGCGCCCAACCCCTTTGCCCGCCATGCAGGCAATGCGACGAGCGAGCGGTACGCGTCAAAGGCACGCGACATCTTTTCCGACATCGACTACAAGGACTACATCAGCGAGCCGTCCCCTTCCGTCGTCCAAACCGTCAAGGACCTCGTAGACGAGCTGCTGTGGAAGTACGCCTCGGTTCTGACCGCCCAACCGTTCGAGGTTGCGAAGACAGTCTTGCAGGTCCGGAGCCACGATGACGTGACGATGGGGGCACCTGCAGCATCCGCCGCAGCGACGCCCCTGGCCACACCCGTCTCGGAGCGGTTGCAGTCCCAGTACGGGAGCGCCATCTACAGTGAGGGCGACTCTGACTCTGATCTCGACGAGCCTGCATACTTCACCTCCAACGCTCCGGCCACCCCGACCCCGTCGTTCCCAAGGGACCATCGACACCGCCAGTCGTCGCCCTCACCCCCACACATCCCGGCGCCGAAGCAGCCCGTGCCGCCTTACTACCTCAATATCCGCCGCTCCGACTCGTTGATGGAAGTCATTGGCCAGCTCTGGCAGAAGGAGGGTGCCTGGGGCGTGTGGAAGGGATCGAATGCGACCTTCCTCTACTCGGTCCTCTCGTCCCTATTGGAGAACTGGTCCAGAAGCGCTCTGAGCGCCTTGTTCAACGTGCCCGACCTGGGCGTCAAGGAGGATATCGATCGCCTGATCGATATTGCCTCGCCCTACCCTTGGGCCTCTCTATGTGCTGCCGCAGCCGCGGCCGTTGCGACGGGCCTCATTCTCGCGCCCCTGGATTTGGTGCGCACAAGGTATGACACCGTCTGTCTTGTTCGCTTACCCTTGTTTACGAACGGTGCTAATTCTTGACCTTAGACTGATCGTCACGCCCACTTCTAAACAGCCACGGAGGACCTTGTCGACCCTCCGCGCTCTGCCCTCCTACGTCTGCCCCTCGCTGCTCGTTGTCCCCACCATTCTTCACTCTCTCATTCACCCCATCCTCACACTGTCGACACCACTGGTTCTCCGGACCCGGTTCCTTATCGACAGCCGGGTGTCGCCTACCACCTTCTCGGTTGCCAAATTCTGTGCTTCATCGGCGGCGCTCTTTGTCAAGCTCCCGCTGGAGACGGTCCTCAGACGTGGTCAGGTCGCTGTCCTCTCCACCCCCTCACATGTCCACGCGCTCTCGGGCAAAGACCAGAAGTTCGAGACCAATGTGCCTCCCGGTCGCTACCACGGTGTCATTGGAACTATGTTCTACATCATGAACGAGGAGGGGTCTCGTGCTGTTCCGACGACCAAACCGACACCGGTGAAGAAGGCCAAGGCCAAGGCCAAGGTCGCAGAAACGGTGTACCGCAAGGGCCAGGGACTGGGGGGCCTATGGCGCGGCTGGAAGGTCAGCTGGTGGGGTCTCGTCGGGCTCTGGACCGCGGGCGTTATCGGCAACAGCGCCGAGGGCGAGTTCTAGAAGGAGGATTTTCAAGCGACCAAGCGCGACGCATACATCACCCGACGGCCGACTGCGACTTGACCTGCAGCCACATACGAGGTCGAGGGCGAAACGCGGGCGAGTGGATGCGAAAACAAGACGAAAAAAACACTGTAATTCTTCTGTTGTACTAGAAGTGTGTACCTTGGGATTCGGGATTCACCGGCGTTTTGGGGGATGATTTTTCCAACAGTCCCGAACAACTCTCTCCTCCACGACCATGACGAGATACGGCATGATATCCTTCCAATTTCAACTGTAAAAAAAGGCAGCCAAACCTACCAAACACCCCCTCCCCCACCGGGGAAAAAAAGAACAAAAATAAAAAACCCCAGAAAGGAAGAAACCCACATCAAACAAGCTGTACCGTAGCGCTTTTGCTTCACTCCACGCCCTTGATTTCAAATCCGAAGGCCTCTGGGACTCTGAACCATACCCGTAATAGAAAGATGTGCGTTAAAATTAGTTATCCGTCGTGACACTCCTCCCACAGTTAGGTTTTCGTGCACGCTGCGAAGGTCGTGTCACCTTCTCATCACATAACATATTACGGCCGTGATTGAGAAAAGATTCTTCGCCAGCCACTCCCCCTTCATCCCCTTTCGTACAACACGGAAGCTTGGTTCGGGAGGGAGGGCCAACCCGGCCCAGAGAATCATGTGAGCCAAGAGACCCCAGGGACGCCAGAGAGCCCAGAGAGCCCAGTGCGACGGGGGTGCCTGCATTCAGGGCGCAGCTGTCAGTCACACTGCGGTAGCCTACGGTGCCCGAGCCAAGGTTCATCTGTGACGAGGCACTTTGGAAACCCGTGGTCAATGTTCTGTCTCCCCCAATCAGGCTGAGCTGCGTCCCCCTCCGGCCGATGGAAGCTGGAGTGCTGCTCATGCGCCGCATACCAAGGCTGTAAGCGTGTCAATTCCGTACCTTGCAACCCTGTAGCCTGCAGCCTGTGCAGCCTGTAAGTTGTTTTCTCCCAATTCCTTATCCGAGAATTGCAGGGGGGCGGAAGTGGTAGGGCGAGCAGCAGCTAGAGGGCCTGTCACCGAACTGCGCATCGTGACTATTGCCCCATTGAGTCCTACAATCGGCTATGACTCCTCTTGTCCGGGAGTTATTAGGGTAGGCGGAAGAGGAGGAGCCGGAGGATGACGACGATGGGGGAGGAGGATGAGGCGAGTGCGGCGCGGACCGGGAGGCGTTTGTTTTGGGGGCCGAAAGCGAGTCCCATCCTGGGATTGACAAGGCAGCACACAAAAGGGCATCCTTCGGGCCCTCGTCCTTATCATAAATGTACGGCCGGAAGAGACAGCACTTTACATTCCCGCTTTCATTCAAACACTTCTCACTGCTTACAACCTTTAAATCCTCTTCTCACGAAGTCTATACCCAGCCACACAAAACAGAAGAAGACGAAGCAAGCCATGGCGCGCACCTCCATCTTCCGTCTTGGTTCGGCCTTCAACGCCGCCCTCCTCACCTGTATCATCCTCAAGCACATCTCCCTGGCCCTCGTCCGCTCCGCGGCCCGCCACGTCTGCATGGTCTTCCTCATGCCCATTATGATTCTTCACGTTGCTATCATCGACAGCTGAGACACATGTCTCGCGTCGGGACCAAAGGGGGTCGGACAAGACCGATCCCTCGAGGACGCCTATTCTAATTCCCTCTACACTACATACCCTCCCCAGGACGAGACATTCTCACCTCCTTTTACCGCCTTCGCCGCCTATTCAAGGGCGATGGAGTACGGGTACGCACACGTCAAACTTGCAGCTGTCTCAACGCCCCGGCCCTCGTCGAAGGCGGGGGCATCACCTACGCACACCCACTCCCTCCTCCTTGACTCACCATTGCTCCCACAACATGCGTCAGCATGGGTCAAATCCCGCCGGGCAGAGGCATAGTCGCCGGTATCTCTTCCGCCGTCTCGCTTTGAAGCGTCTAGTCGTCTCCTCCGCGGCTCTGCCAGAGGGGGGGGGGGGGGGGTCGCTTTCGCCCCTTCCTGCTTGCCAGGCACGGAACACCTCCAGGCGAGGAAGCGCTTTAGACAGGCGATGCTGTCGGCGGCCAGTCCCCGCCATCTTGGCGGAAGGAAACGTGGATCAGGGTTTTTTGTACACCGTTCCGTTGCCGGGGTTGCATTTCTGCTGTCCTTGCTTTTTTTTGGTGGCTTATTATGTCTTTTTGGTCTGATGTCGCGGGTGGCGGGCAGGTTTTCGACCAGGCATCAGACTTGGTAGCTTGGGAGTCGGCCGATGATGGCTGGGCCATTCCAAAGACGGATGCGTTCAAAGTTCTGTTTTTATTGGGCGCTGGGTGGGAACCTAGGAATCACCGAGACCAGGGCATCGCGCCTTTGTCAACCATATTCCCGGGTCTATAGCCCTGGGCACCGGTCGGTTGGTTTGTACAATGGAAAATCACTCCGAAACACCATCACCATATTATCCTTGTCAAGCTGGCCGGCTCAGCAGGACCCATCCTTGGGCATGTCGAGCCTTAGCTTGGTGGCATTGGTGACTTTGTATATAGCCTATACCCTTGGAGCATAGTTACTCTCGGCTAGCAACGTGGGCGCTGTGTGTGTAGGCGGTAGTAGTATTACATAGTATAAGCTTAACCCAGACTCGCTATTGAGATTCAGTCTACTCAGCTACCACTACCTCCATTTAGTCACTACCTGATATCTCAATCCCACAATTAGCTGAAACAAGTATATATCCGACTTAGTGCGGTCCATCATGCATATATGCTTACTATACATGTCACTATTGTCTACATCTCCCTTGATTTCATCAAAATATACAATTATCTTCGCATTGCCTTGGCAAGTTACCTATACACACCAAAAGAGTCGCCGTTTACAGCCTGGGTAAGTCAACCCACCCACTTTTCGGCACCCCCCACATTTCGGCATGCCAAAAATGAAGCCATCACAACCAACACCACTTTATTTAATTAACTATTAATAACCTCTTGATGCCACAATAATACAGCTTTTGGCCTCACTAGGTAATTCAGATGCGCTGGATTCATCTATATCACTTTCAACTTTACTAGCCTCCTGCTGCGATTGCTGTACCTCTTTGATTGTCGTAAACTTTGTGTTAGGATCTATATGAACAGCCTTCTGTTTCCTGGGTATACTGTTGGCAACTTGGGCTTCTAGAAGGCTGAGTTTTTGCTGGGCAGTAGCTAGCATATAGGACTGTTCTTGGAAGCCTTTTTTGACCTTTCTGAATAGTTGGCGTTGTGTGGCGATGCTTTGTTCTAGCTGGCTGAAGAGCTGTAGTTGGTCCCCAAGGTCCTTTACCTTCTTTGGCGTAGACCACTTCACTGCAGATGAGGCTGATGCCCAGCCCTCTATATCATAGGCATCCTAGGCCATATAGGTATCTCTAGCAGCTGCTTTAAGTGGTGTTAATAGTGTTGTTGTTGACGATGTTGCCTTTTGGACTAGTAGCCTATTTATAAGTGGCTTTGCAGCACTAACAGGCCATAACCTAGTGTATTTCTAGCCACTCTTAATGTTGCCAACAGTTAGACTAGCTAGGTAAGCCTTTTAATAGCAGGAAAGGAAGTTCCTTTTGCCTATAATAGTAGAGTTAATCTACTGACTAAGATATCTAAGCTCCTTCTGATATGCTGCCTTAACAGGGCTAAAGACTGACTAGTTAAGTGGCTAGAGGACATAAGAGGTATATGGTAGCAAGAATAAGAGATAGACGTTATTAGTATAGTATAACTATATAAAATCTGTTGTCGTATGGCTCCTATGCCTATCTAGGATAAGGAGTCTAGCCTAGTTAGGCTAAGAGGGCTTAGTCTAAGGAAGAAAGACTCTCTGTAGCTATTTAACAGTAGTAATATTAGTAGTCTATCTATTCTCTATTACTATAAACTCTTATCTATTATATAGGCCTAGATCTAGAGGGAACTACTACTACTAGACTGTTTTACCCTTATATATAACCAAGGGATAAATAGTAATACCTTTAGCAGATATACACTTAATAATAGATACCTAGGCTTATAATCTAGGCTGTTTTTTCCTTACTGCCTTTGTTAAAGCCTTGCCTAGCACTAGCCTATTATTGCCTTTGCCCTTAAGGATACTAGTCTTATCTATATTATATCTGTTGGCTAGTTTAATAGCTTAGATGCAAGGTATAGCGAGATATTTAAACTAGTCCCTAATAACCTTAGTAGATGCCCTATTAACATGCCTTAAATCAATAGATCAACTTCTCTAGACCTTAACAGATAGGTTCCTTCGAATAAAGCCATCTACCCACCTCTTGCCTAGAGGTTGGGTATCCCCCATAGCTTGGAGGATGCAATAGGCAAAGTCCTTTAGTTGTTGATAGGTTAGTAGGTGCCTGAGGTCTGCCTGGGTAGTCACCTAACTGGCCAGGCTGGCCTCCTGGCTAGTTGAAAGCCTCTGGAGGTCTTCAAATGCTGCTTTCCTTGGTTGGGTACCTCTTAGTTGATACTGGAGGGTTGTTCGTGGGATGCCGTAGATAGAAGCTGCCTAGACAACACTATAGCCGTTTTCAACAGCGTTAATCGCTTGATTGATCTCATCTTCGGTATACTGAACCATTGATATATAAAGAAGGTATCCTGAAAAAATGAAGTGATTTGATAAAGGTTGAAAAAAGTGGTAGTAGTTTGAAGTTATAGATATAGCTGTTAATGGGGTGGCTGGGCGGCATTTTTGGCATGCCGAAATGTGGGGGGTGCCGAAAAGTGGGTGGGTTGACTTACTACGGCTGGACGTGACGCTTAAGACACGCGCTTACATATCCTCACGCTATTGAATATGATACAGGGCTAGACTACTAAAGCTGTGCACTAGTAGGCGAGTACACAGGTCGGCGAGACATCTAACTGTTTTTCCGGTGGCTCACTCGAATCCGCCTGCTGACATACGAAGAGAGTTCACACCGAAAATCGGCAACAAGCCCCCGAGAGCTCGAGGCGCAACACCTGCACCTAGATGTAGCCACCTCTCAGCAACACCTCTTCTGGTCGCTGCAAAAGACTCTTCCAGGGTACTTGCGCAGTGTTCTTACGAATCCTGAAAATGCCTTAACTATGGTCCCAAATCACCTAAGAAACCGGATTCGAACAACATTCAAGGCCTCTCCTGAGAAGCGAACCCCAACCGCGGGGCTGTTCCACAGTTGGGAGCCACTACGCGCCGTTTGCGAACGGAGACTAAAGCTCTGTTTCATCCCTAAGACCTACCATTGGCACGTTGCTCTGTGAGGCTGAAAGACGAATGCTGTCTACGTGTGTGATAGGGTTTCGCGCTAACCTGGTTGCATCAACATAGCAACCACTGCTCATATGACTACGATCACTATTCATTAGACAACTCAGGAATAAAACTTTTTCTCGCCTATGTGGAGAGAGCCATGAGATTTGTTCGTGAGCCGACCCCTTCGCTAGGGAGGCAACGGCCAAGCCTCGTCACCCCTCGCATATATAAAACCATGAGGGGGAGGCACCAATGGCTGGAATGTTATGTTCACTCTATCCCTAGCTCGAGAACGGTTTGACGAATACATAGACATGCGTCGAGTATAATTCCAGATCAACGCTTTTGCTACAATCACGTTGTCGTTAGAACCAGCGTCGCTCTCTACGGTTCCACCACTATTCATTCGTTCTCTCCTTTCCTTGAGCAGATCTTCGTTCGGACGTTTTTTTATTCAACGTCATTTCACTCTCTTTTTCACAATAATGAGCTACCGAAGCAAGGCTTCCGGCTTCGTAGCCATTTTGGCCTCCGCTGCAACGGTTGCTGCCCACGGTCACGTCACTAACATCGTTATCAACGGCGTTTCTTACCGCAACTACATCCCCGTGCAAGACCCGTATACCAACAACCCGCCCCTCGTGGCCGGATGGACAATTGACCAGCGTGACAACGGATTCGTCGCCCCAGACGCCTACAACGCTCCTGATATCATATGCCACCGACAGGCCGTCGCTGGGAAGGGCCGCATCACGGTGGCCGCTGGCGACACCGTCCAGCTCCAGTGGACCGAGTGGCCGGACAGTCACAAGGGCCCCGTCATGGACTGGCTCGCCAACTGCAACGGCCCGTGTAACCTTGTCGACAAGACGGATCTGCGGTTCTTCAAGATCGACGGCGCCGGCCTGATCGACCCGCCCCAGCGCACCAACCGCTGGGCGGCCACCGCTCTCATCGAGAACGGCAATGCCTGGCTCGTCCGAATCCCGGCCAACGTCGCTCCCGGCCACTACGTTCTCCGTCACGACATCATAGCTCTCCACAACGCCGGTCAGCAGAACGGTGCGCAGAGCTACCCGCAGTGCATCAACCTGGAGATCACGGGCGAGGGCACCGACAACCCCCCGGGCACTCCCGGCACTGCTCTCTACAAGGCTAATGATGCTGGTATCCTCTACAACATCTACCGCGATAACCTCAATGACTATGTGGTTCCGGGGGACACCATCATACCTGGAGGTGTCTCCATGCTCCCGCAGTCTCGGATTCAGATTACCGCCTCTGGAAGTGCTACCCCTTACGGAACGACCCGTGTCAGATCCTCGTCTAGCACCCGTATCGCTCCCTCAAGTGTTACGTCTGGCGCCATCTCGTCTTCTAGCAGAGAGAGCGCATCATCTGTAGAAGCCGAGGCCATTACAACCATCCGGTTGACCAGGACCATGACCGCCACTCGCACCAACAGCACAAGCAACGACATCTCACCCAGCAGCACCGCAGCACCCACTCGGACCTTGGCACCCACAACACTCCAGACCAAGACAACCACGGCACTTCCAGCTGGTGAGCCAACGCAGGACATGTATGGCCAGTGTGGCGGCTTAGCCTACCAAGGTCCTACTAAGTGCCCAGCGTACGCCACCTGCTCCACGGTGAACCTCTACTACGCGCAGTGCACCCCCCTCCCGGTTCCGCCAGGAGTGCAACCCCTATATGCCCAGTGCGGCGGTCTGAATTGGCCGTTGGGGAGTGCGACTGTATGCGTCCCCGGGGCTCGATGCTCTACGATAAATCCTTACTACGCCCAATGCACTCCTGCGTAGGATACTTGCTTGGCTTTCACCGTTGCTGCTGGATCACGCGGTATTGGATTGGAAAAAATTAGCGTGGCTGAAAATTACGAGAGCGTTGCATAGAAGCGTAGGCAATATCTGACCTTTGCCAGTTTTGTTAGTCCTAGTTCGTATAGAGTCGTGGCTTGTAAAGAGGTGATATTCAGGAGCTGCCACCGCCAACACAGCCAAAAACAACCAGAGCCAGAATTGGCCCACTAGTAGCCCATATGTAGCCCTATCCTCTATCCTATGTGACGCCTATTGGTGCTCTGGCCTATCTTGTACTTATCTCGCGAGTTATGTGCGCCAGACTCACAAGGTGAGACGCAGGTGAACTGTGCTGAGATAAAAGGTGTGGTGCTAGGCAGCTTTTTCTACCATAGACCCCTGATGGTTGACTGTAGGATTACGAGCAGAATCAGGTATGCACCTGATTTTTCAAATGTTCAAAATCGCAGTTATCATTTTTTTTTTTTTTTACGTTTTTGGCGCTGGCAAGACGAGTTTAGCTGAAACTACTATTCACAAGGTGACACATCGTAACATCACATTGAAATTACACTGTGATTGAAAAGACATAATTACATGGTTACCTACCCCCCACATCTACTCAGAAGCGTTCAAAATATGATATCGTATCACTCATACCCATTTCCTCCAAACTCCATCATCCATCTTGAGAGAGCCGAGGTGGAAGATACAGTGTCTGGGTGATCCACATCAAGGACTTTCTCTCTACACCAGACACAGTCTTGCAGCAGTTGTAGTACATCCTGCCATCGCTCGAGACCTCCTCAAGTTAAGGCAAGATTATGCATGCTCATCAGTGTATCAGGATTCCCCTTTAAGTCCCCTCTTTCCCGTCTCTATCACCCGCATGTCAAGCTGCTCGGCCTCTATCCATCGACCTTGATCCCAAAACGTTGGCGCCAGGGCGGCCATTCTTGTCAATGTGATTGGATGTTCCTTACCTAGACTCCCTATGCAAATTCTCACGACCTCTTGTACTATCGTCTCGATCAAAAAGGCCAAAATCGCCCGGAAATCCAAGGGCGGCATAGTCAAACCCCTCTGCATCAAGTCCTGACATGTTTGATTGGAAGAAGTGAGGCGTAATGGGCTGAAACATATCACCAGTGATGTTTGTAAGCCAAGAGGGTGAGTCTTCTTCCACCAGATGAGCCGCAGCATCTCCTATAGTGTCTGCTTGTGTTTGCAAGTTTTCTCCATTCGGTCTAAGGCGTGGAAAGACCCCCTCGGCCATCTCTTTGATCATACGTAGCGTATTACGATGCACCACCAAGACTTCAAGCTGGCCGATGAGTGCCTTGAGAGCATCAGCCGACGCTTTCGCCATCTTTCGCGGGCCGACTTCTTCTGATGTAGCTGGCTCAAAGATCGGGATCTCGCGAGCTAGAATGTCAAAGGCGTCCCGGAGACACCTGCTCTGAGACCATCGCTCCGCAAGGATCGACAGAATAATGCTACATGCCCTGACGGCCTCGGACACTTCTGGCAGTCGATATGCTACAGTCCTCAAATGTGGTGGCGTAGCAAAGAAACAATACAACAATGCGACACCGCACTTGAACTGTGCGATAAGGCCTAGCCACAGCTCGGTGATAGGTGTCTCTCTTTGGAACTTGCGAAATATCAAACAGGCGCGAACGCATGCTTTCACCGTCCAGTCACCCGCGGGGCCCGTCACGGTTTCTTTCGTGGGCTGATACAGCATCGCGAGGCTGTAGTTATAAATCATGTGTAACCACTCGCTGCTTGTAAAGTTTCTCGATCTGGTGTCTGCATATTGATGACAGAGCGCTCTCCATCTTTGGAGCTTCTCGAGCACTCTCAGACGCCAATGGGACATGCCGTCGAACTGCGCCGAGAAGTCACGGTGGAGCGTCGTGTTGAGAATTTCTGATTGGATCCGTCTGCAATAGACAACATGAATCGCCGCGGAGACACTTGTTAGCCGCGGAATGTCGGGATAAGGGTCCATAGAGAATGAGCGCGCACAGGCGGCTTCGAGATCTATGTCGTCGATGTTTGCGTACATTTTCACCGTAATCTGATAGTCCGGGACGGAAAATGGTAAGTCGAACATGGTGCCAACAGCCCGGTCTAGAGCGTACGCGGACCAGAAGACGCGGCGGCGCATCTGTACGCGAACCTTTGAGGCCACATCTAGCGGAGGGGATGGTTCTGCGTCGGCGAGATGAAGCTGGGCCATGATGCAATAGCGCATCGTAGCCGAGGCAATGGAGATTATGCGCTCTGTGGAAGGAGAGTATATAGCGTGCATCGCGAGGAGGAGATAGGCTTGTATGTGGAGGAGACGGTCGGGCTGGGCGAAGACATGAGAGAGGTACTGAGTTATGGCGAGGCGATAAAAAGCTTGGTGGGAGTAGAGCCGGGGTTCGTACTGTGAAGAAGGCCTTTCGAGGAGAAGGCCTATCGAAAAGATCATGTTTTTGAAGTAGAACTTCCACGTTTCTCTTTCGTGGCCGACAGGCCTGCGGAAGTCATCCAGACGAAGAAAAGGATACCGGCAGTGTACTTTTTTATGGTAGATGTTGAACAGATTATTTTCTGTTACTGCATCGAGGGAACCTCCCGCATCATGAAAGCTGAGGCTACTTGTTCTTCTCTTGGTGTTACTGTTCTGAGGACTCGGAGGTGATAGATTGTCCTCTTCTGGGCTAGCGAACGTGGCTAGTAGGCCTATGGCAGGAGAACTTCTGGACAGTGAGGTTCCTGGCCCCGTCCTAGACGTCAACGACGTTCTGCGTTGACAGTTGTCTTCGGAGTGGAGTGTATGAGGTACTGCCACCGCTCGAGATCGGCCTGAATCATGACTGCAGCTAGTCTCCTGTCGATCAACAACAGCCTGTAGTCGAGCGTTGGTCTCTTCTAACCGTGATATGCGATCTTCCAGGGACGCAATATCACTCAGCCCGGCTAATGGCATTTGCATCGAGTTCCTGGGTATACCAGTCAGCTTATAGCCATAGAGTAGTAATAGTAGCAATTGCCTGAAGCAGATGGATGCGAGGTTCTTATTGGAATAATCGTCAACGCAGCGTCCTGCGTACTGCTTCTTTAAGGCAGGGGAGCTTACACCTGTGAGCAAACGGGACCTAAAGGATGAGAGGGGTAGAACAACGGCAATGCGTCGTTACATTCCTCTCCTGACCGGACACAGTTATCACAGGGCCTTTGGTCATCACACTTTTGCTATAGGATGATCATTAGCCTGGATCTCAATGCTTACTTTCCGTGACTAGTATGGGAAATTTGGAAGCATGTGTAACAAGAAAAAAATTTCAATGGCACGACCGGCGGAAAGTTTGAACATGGCTTTAGCGGCTTTACCTTTCGTCGCCGGCAACGCGAACATGCTTGCGTTTTAACCCGCTTGACTGGCGGCTCGCGGTCCTCTGTTGTGGATGAAGTGGCTGCGGGGTCGCACGGCGGACCGATGGCAGACCCTGGTGTCGGCATGGTCGCAATGGGTACATCTTGCGCATTTCTGGTGTCTTCTGGGTTCATGATGCTTTGAAATTAAGTTCCGAGGAATCAACACGATACCCGGTTGTCAACGTTATGGCCATGTATCGAGTGACGAAAAATAACGAGGGGAAACAATCATGGTCCAGAGTCCAGGACGTTCTATGACTGATAACCAGCGCCGGCCGGTATCTATGAGATAGCGGTGGAACCCCCACAGTTTTCAATGCCGAATGGGGGTTGGTCGGTGACAAACAAGGACATGAAGTAGCTGACCGATGTACATATGAAATGAATGTCACCCCGTGAGGGTTAGCTACTACAGATTTGGCAGGCTGTTCACTTGCTATCGGTCAAAGTCACGCCGGGTTTCATTTGCTGACAATACAACTGAGCTCGAGGCTACCTGAAGTAATTCATGCGGACCCAATACCTTCCATTTCCCGATCGTGACTTTTGCCGGAGGTTTTCAAATTTCTCTCTATTGTTAGTAAGGATTTTAACGACTGGGATGATTGATTTAGAACACGTTCTGTAAACAATTTTGGAATCCTTTCAGCCGGTTACACTTATCATGCATAAGTAGTACAGCTTCAGATCCTATAGGCCCTGCCACGTCATATCTAGATACAGCTGTGATTTAACTCTCAGCTCCTTAATGCTCACAGCGTGACAGTTTCCACGTCTACAAAAAAGAGTGTTGTGAACATCGGCGGACCCAAATAAAACATATATATCAAAACAACGTTTATAATCCATACAAGAACATGGTTGTTCGGTTGTGACCCAATTTGCTCTGGTCGAGGATGTATATGCTCTAACTGATTGCTTATCGATACACTCTGCACTGCAGCTTGAAGGGGCGCAAATTCGATCGTTTATTGGAAGATCAGAACCCAAGAGCTGAAAGCGTGTGGGAATGCAGCTAAAACGTCTATTGGAGCCTGGCGGATATTTCGTTCATTGCGGTAGCTTGTTTTGACATGCCGGCTAATAACAGTGCCAGGTCACGTCCAGCCATTGCAAATCTGGTATTGGCATGAACAGTGAGCCTTAATTAACGTTAATAATATCAAAGGCGAGACTTACCTGATGGGAGCATGCCGTCCAGCCAACTCTTCCAATAAGTCTGGCCTAGGTTCAAGCCCGCCTAGGCCAACAAAGATTTTGCGTCCATCTATACTTGCTTTTTCGGCGGCAGCAGCAATTTTCGCAATAGTCGAATGGAAAATATCCGAATCGTACTGACCAGGGATTCCGAGCCTGCTAGGTTATTAGCAGCTGTGGTAATTTGGAACGTCTGCAAATAACTTCTTACTCCATGCAAAGATCTGCGCAGCCAATAAACAAAGCATCAATACCTGGCACAGCTGCAATCGCTCTACCGAGCTGTTAGCCTCCGAACGGACAGTATATCTGGTTCTTGGTTCTACTCACTCTACGTTCTCGACCCCTTCTTTCGTTTCAATCATGGGCATAATGAGCACTTCGTTGTTAACGACCTCGGCGATAGTCGCGTAAGACAGTTCCGTTGTATACTGTGTCATTGCGGTGACCATAGTCACTGATCGGTGTCCCTAATGATGAGCTTGTAAGTCTAGGTTGCTTATGTTGGTGCTGTTGGTCCTCTTCAAAAATGCTGAACCAGAGATGAAGCCGATGATGACTGACTAGCGGTGGAAATTTCGAAGCATTGACGCACATCCTTGCCTCTTCAACATTGTTGACGTGAGGCACGATGACGGCTTGCGCACCAGAGTCCAAACAGCGAGAGATCCAATCGGGAGCGCACGTTGGTACAACTACTGTCGGCGTGATCCTGTACAAGCCGTTAGCTGAATCTTGTTAAGTCCCACAACGACTGACCGGAAATTTCATCTATGTTGTCAAAAGTGGAATCGTTATGTGACTTACCCGACATTTAAGCACGAAACGGCAATGTCTTTCATGGTCTCCATGCTCATGGCCATGTGCTCAAGGTTCATCAGCACAGCCGAATAGCCCGCGCGCTTAGCAACCAGCGGCATTTCGGTAGAGAAGGCAACACGAAGCCCGAAAGAGTGGGCGAGTTTGTTCGACAGCATGAGATGCTTTACAAGATTTGGACGACAGACTTCCCGCGCGAGAGCAAGTTGGTCGGTTGTGACTGACGACATATTGATATTTTGTATCCCAAGATATGTTTGGAAAAAGTATTACAGTACGTCAGTTTGAGGTGAAAGAGAAAAGCTAGTAGGATTGGAAATATCGTAGCGTTGCAGGTTCAGTGTATGTGAGTTCTGACGAAAACGCCTGTGAGAGTTGAAGATTTATTTACAGTTTGGTAACTTGAATATGTAGAGAGTGGCAGATAAGTTTATGATGATAACCCAACGACGTCTTGTCCAAATTCGGCTTCCGGTCTGACCCATACCCTGTCGGGGAGGTGTAAATCAAATGCGGGGAAACATCGGGCGGGGTCCGACAAGCTATCATAGCTTGCCTATCTTCGGAACAAGGGAGGTGGGATGCCGATGAGGACACCCGCCAGCACGGTCTTGGCCATGCAATATGCTGATAGTGTAAAGCACCAATAGTACCTTAGAAGAGAACAGGCTGATACTAAGGAGCCGCTAACTACTTATCACAATCCGGGTTGGTGGACATGGTGGTATTAAGGCAGGTCAAGGGTACGTTGATTTGTAAAAAGCAGAGCGTGTCTCAGTGTCTGGCATTTAATCATCGGATATAAACCGTTTGTTTTGTGATAAATCTGCGATAAATTGCAAGTATGGGCGACGAAAAAAAGACAGGCAATATGGACCCTGTGAGCACTGCCTCTACAGTCTCTACTTCGGATGCTGGCATTGGTGCGCACGAGGATGCGCTCCAAACTCTCCCTATGACAAAGAGAATTCTGTATCATCTTTGGGACGCTGATCAACACTTGAAGTCTCCTAAGGTACGAAATATTTGAGAAATTCCAAAATAGCCTCATAAGCCCATGATTGATACAAAACAGGAGCGTTCTTTGGTTCGAAAGCTAGATTTTGGTATTCTTATTTGTGCAACGCTTGGATGGGTGGGTTCCAGATATCATCTTATTAGTCATTACGATAGCTGACTGCCACAGTGGATGAAATATATCGACCAGAGTAATATCACAAATGCTTGTTGGTTGCCGAGGTTGCTTTCAAGGAATGATCAAGTCTAATATGCGAGGTTAGACGTTAGCGGAATGAAAGAGGACCTGAATATCCAAGGCAACGAGTACACTTACATGCTAAGTAAGTTCATTCTCGAGACTAATCAGGCTTTAACACGCAGTTGACAGCATTTTAGTGTGCTATACGATTGCCTTTGCCATCATGCAGATCCCATCTAACCTAATCGCCCTAAAGATCCGCCCACGCTACTGCATTATTTTCTGTGAGCTGGGCTGGACGGCCTTCACGTACGTCTTACTCAATTTTATCGCCTCTGAATACTTCTTTGTATCGAAAATATCAAGTTCCTTGCCTTCTGACAAAACATTGATTGCTTTAGGTTCGCTCAGGCTGCCGCCCAGAGCAGCAATCATATGTACGCGTTTCGCTTCATGATTGGTCTCTTCGAGTCAGGATTTTCTCCTATCATAATCTTTCTCCTGGGCTCATGGTATACCAAACCCGAACTTGCCAAGCGGGTGGCTATTTGGCATATTACTGGCTTTTTCGGTCAGGCTACTTCAGGCTTCCTTCAAGCCGGTGTTCACAAGTCGCTAAACGGACACCTCGGAATGGCAGGGTGGAGATGGATGTACATCGGTGAGTGCGAATTCATATACTGCTCGTGAATGTATTTTGGCTGATAATGGCGACAGTATGCGGATGCATGTCTCTTCCCGTAGCTCTCTCCGTGTGGTGGCTTCTACCCGACTACCCGCACAACACGACTGCCTGGTATCTTACCGAGGAAGATAAAGAAATCGCCATGCAACGGGCAGCAAAACAGGGAAAAGCTGAGATAACCGGAATAGTCGACTTGGAATTGGTCAAACGTATGTTCGGCAACTGGCGATGGTGGATATTATGTCTGATGTACATTCTCGTAAGTTATTATCAACTCAAGACAATGCATGCTGTCACCCTTGGCTGGACTGTTTAGAAAGCTAAATGAGATCTACAGTACGGAAACTCGTGCCAAGCCAACAGCTACTTTGCCATCTACCTTCGTAGGTATCCTGCTTCGCAATATATAGAAAACGAAGAAGCTAACACCACTGCAGGGGAGAATGGTTATAGTGTCACCCAGCGTAACATCATCCCTGCTTGCGCCAACCTCGTCACCATGGTCACCGACTTTTTATGGGGTTTTATGTCTGATATGACGGGCAACCGACCTCTTTGGATAATTGGCCCTCTGGTATGTAAGGAATACCAGGAGCTATGACTATTCACTAACATAATTGTTCGAGATGTGCACCACTGTCGTCGGCTCTTCTCTTCTGACGGCTTATCCAACAACAAACGCGGCTCGTGTAGTCGGATTCTTCCTAGTCGCCTGTGGTTACGTCACAGCCGTAACTTGGGTAAGTAGCACATATACTCTGCAAAGTGCTAGTCGCTGGCTAATGAAACTAGACTTGGGCGAATGAGGTCAATAACGGTAACGCTGAAGAACGTGCCTTAACCATTTCCAGTATGAATGGGCTGTTCTATGCAACGAGTAAATTTCTACCATTCTAATTTCTAGATACAATGGCTCATTGTTGTCCAGACTCATTTCTTCCTATTCTCATCTTTCCTCAGACCATGGCGCCGAAATTCGAGCGAGGATTTCCTTCCGTTTTGTCATTTGCTCTTGCTGCGGTTTTGCTAGTGTGTGAGCTATACCCTTCCATTCACACATGTTCTTTCTTACAAAAGTTGACTTGTATCATGTAGTAATTGCAGACTACTTGCATAAACGACAACTGCGACAGGAATCCCAGATAGCTGCAGCTGAACCTGTCTCCGAAGTTACCATGGAGGACAGTGGGTTGAAGAGGGAGAAGGAGATGGATGATAGACTATCTGGAGCTATTGAGCTCGTTCGAAACTCTTCCACCATCATTTGAAGAGTATGAGGCTGGCTGTGTTTGAAAGTTGTTTTTGGCCATTGATTCTAGCAAACATGCCAGTCATTGCCTCCAACGTTTCCGGTCTGAGCAAAGTTTCAAGATGACTCGATTGGCTCTTTTTGGGATAAATAATATTTAGTGTTCGGGCAATTACGAAATATGGGTTTCCTGAAGAGGTGGGTTTTCCTCATGTGTATTCTTTGTACACTACCTGGTTAACCTAGTTCGTGTTTTCCTATTCAGGGTGTCTTGTTTCCGATTATATAATTTGCTTGAGGGACTATTGGATCTAACTACAATTAATCATGATATCTTTTTCGTTGCGCTGACCCATAAGCCCCGGTACCTGATACTGTTCCGTCCAAAATTGGATACTCATGGGTCTCTACCTTATACCAATTGCAACCTGCCCGTCAAACCTTTCTCCACTCTTCATTCTTGTTCTGATTTCATTAATCGTATCTGCCAATCTTGTGATACCCTCCTTTATCTCGTCCACTTCATGCCATGCCCAACAAAGCCGGATACACTGAGAGAAGCCATTTTTAGATTCTGCTCTAAAAACGCTACCATTGTCCCCCGTGACGACAAACATGTGACCAAATGCGATACGTAGTAGGTTCTTTTCTAGAGCTATAGCAGCTACAGTTCGGGCGGGGGGCAGGTCGTCCGGAAGCCGGAGGTATGTGAAAAATCCACCGACTGTCGCTGCTGTAGTATTTTTGGGAGTGTGAACTTCATTAACTACTCCTAGTGGAAGCAGTACATCAGTGATGGAAGACATGAGAGCATAGTACCGCTCTCTGTATGTGGGGATTAAAACATCTTTGATGTGTGCTTGGAGATTGCCGCTGCGGAGCATTTTGTCAACAAAAGTTGACGTAAGGTGTGATGGCGCACCACCCGAGCTTGAGGAACCGCTAATTCGATATGTCAGTTGGAACTGTGATGTGTACTATCTGTCTTTTCAAGAGTACTTACACTTCCGCTAGTTCTTTGGCAAAAGCTGGCGTGCTATCAGCCCAGCCGACTCTCACGCCAGGGCCGATCACCTTAGAAAACGATCCGTTGCTGACTGTGTTTCCCCATGTGCTGTAGCCAGGAATACTACGATCTATGTCTACCAGTCTCTGTGGGACAGCAGCAACAACGCAACCTTGAGCATGCGGGCCATCCGGCCACCTCAGGAAATCATAGACGTCATCGGACACAATGAGAGCATCGTACTTTCTGGCAAGAACCACAAGATCTTTGCGCAGTTTGGACGAGAGCGTCTTTCCGCTAGGGTTCGAAAAGGTCGGAACGAGGTAGATGACATATTTGTAGATCTTTGGGTACGATCTACCAACCTTCAAGGTCGGCTCGTCAGCTTGATCGGCTTGAAAGTTTGCCATTGCTTGAGCTTCGGTCTCGGCTTTCGACAATTCGCGGCTAAGAAACTCGATGTCGATTCCCTCTGTGTTGTTTTCGGGCACACCTCTAAGCTTGCCTTGGAAACCATTGTCTTCGAAAATTGGGCAAGCGAGGAAGTACGTTGGTTCGACCATGAAGATTTTGCGGGTGTAAAGGGGGTCGGTGAATTTGAGTAGAATGTTAGCCAAATTACCCGACGCACCGTTGTTGATAGAAATCCGCTCATGGTCCATCTCCGTGTCGTAGACAGAAGAGAGCCATTTTGCAACACTTTTGCGTAACGGCGGATGCCCAACATGAGGCCCGTAGATAAGCGCAGCTGCGGTTTCAACCTCTGAGGTTAGAACTTGAGTAGCGCCATCTAGGAGACCACTAGCTGCAAAAAGTCGGGGAGAAGGCCAACCCAGCTGCAAATTGATAGGCGAAAGCTTATTGGAGTTTGTGGTGGTGTTGCATTGCATTGTGATGGTAAATTGGACAGCAGAACCAAAACACCAATATCAGCATTTCGTGAGACAAAAACAAGAATGGGAGAACAACGATCTTCTGGTGTTTTTCAGGCCCGTAAAAGAACCAACCAGATTTCGAGGCGACTCTCAATCCTGTAGTGAATTTTGTCGGGCGAGATCCGACTCCTGGCCAAGAAGACTTCCCCACATCGGGCGCTAGGTGATAGCCTCCGAAAGGATTCCGACGCAGTTGATAAGTGGTCTCTCATGGCCCGTTGATATCGCTTATCGGCTCAACGTCATGCTGGAGACGGATCCAAGGCCGAAAAATGGCAGGGGGAATTGCCGGCGGGAACTCTATATCCATACGTACCGACTAGCCCCTCGATTAGCCGGGGATTGGGCTACTGGCAAACATCTCCACTTGGAAGCACAGTCTTCCCGCGGCTTGGTGGCAGAGTGGTCTAATGCGCAAGACTAGAAATCTTGTTCCTTCGGGAGCGTCTGTTCGAATCAGGCCCAAGTCGATGTTTGAATCTTTTGAATGTTTCGTTCCCGGTTATATTCGTTTGTCTGAAACTGTGACTGTTGTAAGTGTGGAGGAGGCTTCACATGTATTTAGTTACGTAGGAGACAATGCTTCGTTATCGCTTAGCGCCTAACATGCTTTACACAACTCGAATAGTTCCCAAATTTAGCCCATTAATCATGAAACTCCATAGCTGAATCCTCTTCTAAAGCTTCCAGGACGGGCCAATGGAGATGATTTCATCGTAAAGAAGACTGTATATTAAACCCTGTTATCATTGCACAGCTTACGAGAGCGGAGAACGGGGTACTTACGTGGTGACAAAGTCGGCATAATCCTCACCTGTGACTTGCAGCCGTAGGTACTTGGCCGCCAATTCGTACTTGTTGTTAGCGGGTGCGGACTTGATTAGTTCTTCGGTGACGTTGTCGAGTATGTTGAGCATCGTCGCCTTGTCGAGTTTCGTGCCTTCCGCAGTACTGACACCGTGACGGACCCACTGCCAGAGTTGCGTGCGAGACACCTCGGCGGTGGCGGCGTCCTCCTAGAATCGTATTAACTCAAATGTCTGAAATCGACAATATGAGAGTTTCCGACGTACCATCAAATAGTTGATTGCGCTGCAGCCAACGCCACGCAGCCAACCCTCCATGTATGCCAGAGTAATGTGCAGGTTCTTCCTCACACCATCATCAGTGATATTGCCAGGGACAACGGGATTGAGGAGGTCATCGCGTTTGACGTCCACTTCTGGTCGAATGAAAATTTGGTTTGCGGTAGGCATGTGCTCGTTGAAGACCTCACTTGCGATGGAAGCCAGCGCAGGGTGGGCGACCCATGTTCCATCATGCCCGGCTTTGACTTCACGAAGTTTGTCAGCACGCACGCTGTCCATCGCTCTGGCGTTGGCCGCCGGGTCGTCCTTCCTGGGGATGAGGGCTGCCATGCCGCCCATGGCGTGCACGCCACGCTTGTGGCATGTACTGATTAGCAGCTTAACGTAGGCATCCATGAAGGGGACAGTCATAGAGACGTCGGAGCGGTCGGGGAGAATGAAACCGGGGCGGTTGCGGAAGCGCTTGAGGAAGGTAAAGATATAGTCCCATCTGCCGCAGTTGAGGCCCGAGCTGTGGTCTCTAAGTTCGTAGATGATCTGTAAAAGATATTAGTACCCGTTCAGGTGACAAGTGTGGGTATTACAAACCTCATCCATTTCAAAAACAGCGCTTATAGTCTCAATCAGAACAGTACCGCGAATCGTACCCCTCGGGATACCAACGTAGTCCTGGGCCATGTTGAAAACGTCGTTCCATAACCGCGCCTCAAGATGGGACTCCATCTTGGGCAGATAAAAGTATGGACCAGCCCCGCGGGAGATGAGCTCCTTTGCATTGTGGAAAAAGTACAGCCCAAAATCGAAAAGAGCACCGGACATGGGCTCCCCGTCGACGGTGAAATGCTTCTCGTCCAGGTGCCAACCGCGCGTCCTGGCGATCAACGTTGGAAGAGGGCGGTCGGTTCTGAGCTTGTACTCCTTCTCCCCGAGTCGGAAATCGACTTGGCGACGGATGGCGTCGTACAAGTTGACTTGGCCGTAAATCATGTTGTCCCACGTTGGCCCGTTGGAATCTGATATGTGTAAGTCTGGGAACGACTCTCTTTCTGACCGTAAAGCTGACTAACCTTCGAAATCGGCCATATAAGCCCACACATCAGAGTTGAGCGCATTGACAACCATCTTCCTGTCTGTAGGACCGGTGATTTCAACCCTGCGGTCAACCAAGCCCGGCGCAGGCGCGGCACCCTTCCATTTCTTGTCGTCACGGATGTGCTGGGTTTCTGGTAGGAAATCTGGTAGGCGCCCATTGTCTGTTTCAATCTGACGCTGCTCCCGGAGCTCCAGAAGATGCTTGCGAGTTGGCTCAAAGGTGCGGTGGAGAATGACGAGAAACTTGACGGCATCCTGGGTGAGAATCCGGCGGGAAGCTTCATTGCCGGCGCCGAGGATGGCGACGCTGCCTAGTATTGAGCTTGATTGAGACATTTTGGACTTTGTCAAGGTTGAAGACGGCAGAAATCGGGGTTCACTGACAACTGCTAAAATGTGCTCTGATGACACTCAGATCTTTTGAAGTGACCTGCTGAGTTATTAAGTATTCTTTCCATGGCTAATGGCGCATCATCATCTGCTCGGCTATCTTCCGATGGTGTTCTACTCCTTCCCCGTGCTTGGTGATGCTGCTCGGCTCGGCAGCCGAACAGGCGTCGGATGAAACCCGATTGGCTCCACTCGTCCTTACTTCTCGCCCACGGTCGAGCGGAAAGGCTCCAGCCTGTCAAGTCACTGCCCAGGTGTAATTCGCACGTCATTTGGCTATGGAATTATTTCAATCCAGTGCTGCGGGTACAGTTGCTACGTTAATGTTGTTTATGATTCTGTCTTAGATGCCACTGCTATGAGCCATGCCACCCGGTGCCATCATCTTTTCTAATTCGGCCCAATCGAGCTGATCAACTCCTGTAAGAGGTAGTGTAGGGTCATTAAAACTGTTATAGATACCCTCAGCAGCCTCCAATCCAAAAGCCTGCTCAAGATTCTCGTCCAGATTCAAGCCAAACAACGTATCCGACCCATAAGTATCGGCGCCAGGTCCTCCAAACATCTCACCCTCCCACGATGGCACCGAAGACGTCGGCGTCGGTGTGGCCAGTGGCATTTGGGACGTCGATGGCTGCCCCGACTGTTCCGCCAACACTGACCCGGGAGTGTTCACCATGTGGGGCGCCCCATGCGCTTCCCCGGATTCTCCTCCCATTTGTACGTCATGATCCCTATCGAAGGCTACTACATTGGCCCACACATGAGCCGAGAACTGCCGTACATCCTTGAGGCGCTGCGCTGCTGCATTGTTGCCGGCCTGGGACAAATACTCCATAAAGTCGATGGCTTGAAAAAGTTCTTGTGGCGGTGGTTTTTGGCTATCGTTCTTGTGTGCAAACCCGCGCATGATCAGGACAAAGGAAGCAGCAAAGGCCGCATCTAGGTCGAAGAAGGCGAACGGTGCTGAGTTTCTTGTCAATATTGTTGTCATCAACCATCAGAGAAACACAACTAACCGATTTCCTCTTGCCTCTGCATAGCCATGAGAATTCGAATAATCCTCAAGGCGGATTCGTTGCAGAGTAAGCAGAGCTGAGAGATTGCTGACGATACTGATCCCTGTTTTTCTGTTTTTTGAACCTTGTCCTTCACCTTTTGCAGTAAGATAGGTCTGATGCAAAGAATGATGGCCTTTAGTCAAACCTATGTTAGCATACAAGGTGGCTGAGAGGAGTAATATGCAAGAGGGGAAGGGAGCCAGCTTGCCTGAAACAGCCTCAGATACAGTGATGCACCGGCTCTGGTGACTTCAAATTGCTTGTTGCTGAAGTTTATGGAAAGGTTTGCTGGTATAGATCGACCAGTGTCATGGAGCGACTGGAGAAGGTTACGCATCTTCCGGACGAGGTCGGCTTGCGATAAGGCACCTCTGCTGTACAGTGCTGTAGTCCATCTCAGTGAGCCAACTTAACCACTACAGCGAGCAACGAAAGTTACGATGGAGGCTGAAGCCACTTACAAGACATGATCTCGCCGGTTGCGCGAGCAATTTGTACATTTACGTTGAGCGGCTCAGGAGAGTCGAAGCCCGGCGACGGCCCCGGAAGATCAAAGGAAAGGTGGCGATCATCGACAGAAGCCGGACGTCCAAGCCCTGCGGATATGCGTCTGGCGGAAATAGAGTCAGCTCGTTTATCTTTTGGTTCAGTGGTTAGGTAACGTACTGGTCCAACATATACACCGTCCACCACACTCTCATTCGGTGCGCTCTCTCTGAGGGAAGGCATTTTTGCTCTGAGAATGGCAGGTTACAGCCTAATGTCAGGGCAAGCCGCACAGTTATTCCCACCTGTTCAATTGTCAACGTTCATGGCTGAGAAAGCGGCCAGTGTTACTCTTACGAAGAAATATGCATCGTTTTTCCTGTCGTTCCACTGCAAATATGTGGTTGCCAGGCAGAGAATCTCGAGACCGACAATACCGTATTCGCTGATGCTGTGCAGTGGCGGAAGCCGCCTCATCGCTTCTGCGAACCAGAACGCTCCCGGAGGACCCCGGACCTCGCGGGGATCTTCCTCCATCAACTTACCCATTGCCATTACCAACAAGTACAGAGTGAACCACGGAGTGTCCATTTGCCTGGCGCGCGAGGCCTGGCTCTGGAACAACAACGTCATGTTATCCGTAAACGTTCGCTGGTCTAGGAAGTGCTGTGTCACGCCCATGTATGAATTGAAAAGATCCAAAAGCCGGTTGGACTCGGCCTCCTTGGGAAAAGCCTGGTGAGGAATGCCCTTGATCAACTCATTGGTGGAGGTCCACTCAGGGGTGAAAGGAAGGTCTCTAGAGTCTTCGTGCTCCAAATGTTCCGGGACATCCTTCTCCGGCGAATCTCGATCTTTGCCATTGTTTTCATGGAAAAGACTTCTCAAACGCTGCTCGAAGAGAGGACCTGGCGCGCTTTCTATGGATGCTATTTCATCGGAAATTAGCCTGAGAATGCAACGAGTATGAGGAAAGAATAACCTACCATAACTTGGAGGTGGCACTTCACCGGTCGGTTCAAAAGGCGCAATGCCGGTTGGACTAGAATTTGATACTGCGTTGGACACGCGCCTTGACTGGGGTATGGGGTATGGGCGTGGCTGTTTAGAGAGCTCTATTCAGGTTTAGACTCGAGCGTCATCCCAAATACGCTGCGGAAAAGGGAATTTTCAATCGTTTTCGTACCTTTAATTTGATCTTCGTATCGTGACAATGTTGCTCTCAGCTCCGATACGTAGCTAGTCACTGGGTCAGTAAGGAGGATGGAGAAGTCCGATTTCGGAATCAACCTACGATTCTGAATACCGCTTTCGCCCATCGCCAAACTCGCAGTCCAGATTGTTTCGCGCACAATTCCTACAAGGCTGTTCCCCAGAACACTTCACCTTGCGTCTCCGGCAAGTATTGCATCTGCATACCGCAACGTCGGTCAGTCAGCCCGTCATGTGGCAGAGTGTTATTGCTGGGGGAACAAACTGACGCGTTTGCGGACCGGGCTTTGACCACCGCTTGCGGAGGCATTGCAGCTTCTTCGTCTGCCTCAGACTTGACGTGGCGTTTCCTCTTACGGCTCGAAGATGAAGATGAAGCCTTGATCACATTGAGAGACTGCAAGATTTCGTCTCAGTCAAATTGCAAAGTCTTCATGTGATGCGCGCTGGTGCTAGGTCAATCGAGTGTGGGGACCGATAAGAATGACTCGCCTTAGATGAGGGGTCCGGGGTTGGGGAGCCCCTGTAACTGCTAGTCGACATTATACAGTGTATGAGGGTAGCCCCGATAAGCTAAATATATGCAGTCGTGTGTGCATTAAATGCAACAGCCACGGCTTATGCAGGTCCTGAATCCCTCCGACTCCTGATAAGGTTCCTGAGCCGTCTGTGCTTGGTGTAACCGAAAATCTTGGTGCCGTACCACATCAATCATGAGAAATGACCTCTATAGTAGCTTGTAATGGCGAGTAGATTTTCATTCAATGATGTTTGGAGAAAGAAGTTTGGGTTCCGCAGGCTTTGAGGCAGGATGGCCATCTTATCCATAGACACATGGCTTTCGGCACTCATCCGAGTCGATGGCACAGTTCGAATGGATCCACCTTCGGCTTCAGTCCCCGTGCGAGCCATGACATCATTATCCATGGGATGGTCAAACTATCGTGTTTGTCTTAGCGCTGGTCTCGAAATCAATACGGAGTATCAAGTCCTGAATTGTCAAGTCTTATTTATTTCATGTTATTCAATTTGATGAATCCGAACAATTTCTTCAAGTGACGTAGCCCACACGGTTCTAAGCTCGGTCTGCTTCCGAGACGGAAATGCCTTACCCTCGGCCAACGCCTGAAACTGTCACTTGGGGGACGCAGCAGATACCTTCTCTCATTAAGGCCTGATCGGCAAAACCGATAACAGTCTGATATCAGCTGTACTCCGATAAGAAAATACATAGGGTTAGGGTTAAGGAGAGTTTGATGCAAGGCCAAAGATTAATTTAATAAATGTACTACTAGAGCCCCTGCAACAGCTGTGGCCAGCTGTAGCCTACTGGCACCACTGTTGCCAGCGCCTGCCCACTATTGCTAGCGCCCAGCTGCTAGTGCGCCTACCTACTGTTGCCTACTGTTGCTAGAGATATTGGTCTATTTCTAACACTCAACCTAAGTCTAGAGCCCAGTAATAATTTATATAGGGAAAGTAGGGGATTTAGCAGATCTGCTAATAAGAAAGTCATATTTCCTAGTAGTACATGGCCTACTCTAATATTATTAGAGTTCTGTAATGTAGAACTGAAATCATGATATATACTCCTGTTTTTGGCCTAGTGTAGCACGATTTGAGTTTTTTGGTACTTGTGGCTGGTGCTTGGTCCGTGATATCGGTCCTTATTTGAAGTGTCAAATGATATCGGCGGAGCCGATCAGGCCCTAAATATAAGATGTTATAACTCTTAATTCTGCAATAGTATTTGTTTTCGTTCTTTACAGGACACGTTGCTAGCACTCTTTTGAACACAGGGCTTAGGTTAAAAGCATCGTAGACATGTTGGGAAACGCTAGATATGCAGCGATAGCGTTTAGATTGTCAATAGATATGGCGACTGTGGCTTGACCCTAAACTTCACATTAGTGGTGGCGGTAGCGATGCATGCAAATCATAGTCAGAGACTGACAGGCGGCAGAAAGGCAAAACCACTGCCCAATACAATCCGCTAACGCTGACGTGGGATAATCTTGGAGGATCAACACTGCTTGGCACATTCTATGCTGTCAGCCATAAGCAAATCCCGTAATCTTCAATGACTATAAATCTCTTGTTGGTTCCAACACCACGTTCAAAATCCTGTCCTCGTCAGCCAACACCATCGTTAACATGCCTTCCACTCCATCGTCTGCAGAACTCCGAAAGACAATCGAGCTAACGACGAGGTCTTTCCTCGCAGCATACACAGACGCCAACGAACAAAATGACCCCTCGCTCATTAATCGTGACGTGACGGCCGACTGTACCCGTCATATGCTACCGAGTACTATGGTCAAGGCCTTTGGCCTTCCGGCGGGTATCAGCATCCCCAATGAAGCGTACATCCAGAATATCGCCCGGAATATTCGAGTTTACTCTGTGCAAGACTCCGTCATTTCAGATCTGGTCATCGACATCGAGACTCGCAAGGCCGCATTTACATCGAAATCGAATGTTGTGTATAAGACAGGCTGGGAGTCTCACCCGATCGAGTTCAGTTGGCTTTTGGATTTCAATGAAGATGGCTCAAAAGTGAAAAAGGTCACTGAGTTCTGCGATAAAGATACAGTTCTCCTTTTGCATGGCCGAGTTGAGGCGGGACAGCCCAAGTAAAAGGGGGGGTTCTTTCGAGTAAATCAGGACCTGGATCGTTGACATCGTAGTCGTCTTGGGAGATTATAGATGTGCAGGAATTGATGTTGAAACTCGGATCTCCCTGTACGGAGTGCAAAACGTCACGTCCAAGCCTTGACTCTATTTGTATACCAGTAAAGACCATCTCTTCATCCATGTTATAATTAACACCTCTACCGCATCCCGATGCTCTCTAGGCATAGGAAGATGTGCCGGGAGCACATCTCACAAGGTAGAGTCCCGCTTTGCAGGATAGTTAATTCCAAACTCCTAGTTATTGAGGTTACCTACGTTCTCTGGTTCGTATCCAACTGGTGACATCACAAGGGTGGTGACTTAGGCCAAGGTGATGACGAATATTAAGGGCAAATAATAGTCTATTCTGTTACGCATGAAGAGCAAAAGAAAGCTATCCGGAATTGCCTTGTTGAAAGTTGAGATAACCAGGCAGTGGTTGGCCATATCTTATAATATAACCTCCGTTATCAAGGATAGATGGCGACGCCCTGCATCGGAACAACAGCAAATTACTACATTACTAGATCATCAGTATTTCGACAGCAATAATAGGGACCAATAAACCAGACAGTATTCCTCTATGCGGTCCGCATTTATGAGGATGTACACCAAAATATCATACCAATCAACTTGCTTGGCCCTGGGTTATGTGAGGCAGGTATCATGTGGCCCTTGATATTGCTGTCCAAATACTAATGACCTAGTAGTACTGTAGTCACGGCCCTATCTTTATTTACTCCTCCTCCGTTAAGGTGCTTCAACTTTTTGGTCCCTCCTGACTTCGCTGATAGATGGGACGGGGCACATTGGCGCTTGCATCTTGAGGCAATCCAGTGTTATCTTGTGAACCACCCTCTTGACCCGTGTTTCCACGATACAAGTACTGCAATTGATGGGGCTGAGAAAATTGATGACCAAAGGAAGAGCCACCGGGGCTAAGATCAGGACGTAGGAGAGCTTCTCCACTGTAACCTGGCTGCGGCCCTGATTGGGGTGACTCGTATGGCTGGCTCGGTTGCCGTGCTTGTTGGTACTGAATGTCCATTGGGGCATGTTGGCTAATCTTCGACTGCGCAAACGAAGCGGGACTTTCGTAACCCCCAGAATTTCCAACGGAGTCTCTGGACAACTGGTGGTGGCTCACCCGAGGAGTATATGGCTCCGAACCTTGTTGCCGTTCAAAGTTTGCAATCGGAGTTATTGGGCGGTCACGGTAGTTCTGATACGTATTCTGTTGCGAGCCCATGGCAGATTGCGATATTTCCGATGAGTTCCTGTTCCTGTAGAAATGTTGCTGAAACCCATGATGCCCTGTAAAAGACCTCGACTCCTCTCGCTGCGAGAAAAGACTCGGTCTCGTCTCGAAGGCTGTGTCATTCCTCGCCCGGAGTTTGAGGTCAATGGCTCTGCGGTCGCCCTGGGCGCCTTGGATGTCACCAAGGTACTTTCCGAAGTCGAGGTAGGCCCTCTGGACCGTCCTGAAGTACTTCAGTTGCAGCCTGACAACCGCATTTCTGTCAATCTCGCTATTGACATCGAGAATACCACCTTGTGCGTCGAACTCGGCGAGCGCGAGGGCCGTTTGGCACGCATTGCGGATCTGCCGGCCGTTCCATCGGTTATATCTGTGCTCGTGGAAGTGATGCAGGGCGAAATCCTCGATGGAAGACGGATCAATGATGATTGTCCGCCCTTGTTTCTGGAAACGCTGCTCGATAAGATCTAGGTTTAGCCGGAAGACCTTGAGCGTCTTTTGCTCATCGAGTTCCGGGTAGTACAGGCTCATATGTATTCTCGAGGCGAAGGCTTCATCAAAGTCGCCGATGCGATTTGTCGTCAGAAATAAGATGCCGGCATAGTATTCCAGAACGCGAAGAAAGACTGTATGGATGCTGTCAAACAAACGTGTCTTCAAGAGAGGCGACTGCAGAAGATTAACGATGAGTGAGACATACCAGCGACCAAACCATTACGGTTGAAGTCCATGCGCTCGCGCGCTGACAGAAACACATCCGCTTCGTCCAGGAGCAAAATACATCCCCATCTACTCGCCAAGGCAAAGTTCTTCTCAAGTTCAACTTCAACCTCTTTTGCAGTAGTACCAAGGTCTCCTGAAAGAATAGAACAAACGTCACGAGTCAGTTTGAAATCTTTGTGGTTGAAAGGTTACCCTACCGCATGTGATCTGGAATAATGGCTTCTGGAAAAGCTCCGCAATCCCCTCTGTTTATCAAATGTCAGTCACACAAATACAATGAAGCATTTGAAGACCCAGAACAGCGTACCGGCGGTAGTAGTTTTACCGACACCGGGGGCTCCGTGGAGAAGCAAAATAAGTCCTTTGCCTAAAGATTAAAGCAATCACATCAGCTGGGGACCTTGGAGCAAAGTAACGAGGAGCCGAAATTAAGGAAGGGTTTTCCGTCATTCTCTTTCAGGGTGAACTCCATACCTTTTCCTTGAATCAAATCAGTTTGCTCGTCGCTCGCAAAATGGGATTTTCGGTGGCGGAAGTGTTGCATGACTAAAGACTTGACCATATCCCTGTGCCCATCGGGTAGTTCCAATTTCTCAAATGCATTGATCGTCAAATTCCTCGAATTGGAATTCTCATAATGCAAAAACGTTAGATCAAGTTGAGCTAGATGTACATAGTCAGTGCATTGTCTGAATTTCCACGAAGGAAGCACAGAGTGGAACGCTCACCCCATTTACGACTTCGCAAAACGAATCCGAAGACACGGTATGTCATGACAAGAAACTCGGTCTCTGTTAATTCACTTAAAGAATCGAGAGTATCCTCGAGAGACCTAGGTGACAAGATAAGGGAAGGTGGTCGAAGAGAAGTGCCGGGTATCAACGTCTTAACATAGTCCTGGGTCATCCTAAAATCGGTAGGAAGCCCGTCGTGTACGGCCTGGCGAAAGCAACAGACAGCCATGCACCTATCCTCCCTCGTGGCTTCCGATGCTGTGCTGACGGGTGCTATCTTTGGCTCCCAAGCCTTCCTACGGCCCTCATCGGCTAGTGCCTCGTTGAAATCGATGACGACCTGACTGTCAATCTCATCTCTCTTGTCCATCGTGACTCCCATGTAGTACATGGCCTTGGACTTGGCCACTTTCAACAGCATTCGGCCTCTCTTCGCGATGTTGTCCCTCGCCTGGGTATCTCTGGCATATCGAAGAGGATAGACTGGGAGCGACGTGATCTGCTTGAGCTCACCAAACGGGGAGATTTTGAATTTCTTCACGATAGGACCAAAGAATTTCCCGTCGAAGTCAATGTAGACACAGTTGAGTGTAAACGGATTATCGTCCTCATCGTCCTCGCCGTCAGAGTCGGAGTCGGAGTCTGAATCATCTTTTACGGGGCGCCGGTTCCATCTCTCCCAAGGTTCCTCAACTTTGTGACGCGGAATTTGAACCCGCAACACAACAAACACCTGTTTCTGCTCCTGACTTATGACCTCATCCCCAGGCTTAAAAAGGTACCACAGGTCGTGGAAATGTATGCGGGTGCATTGCATGCTATTGATGTATTCCCGCTTCGGCTCCAACTCCGCGTCCATGAACTGGACAAGGCACCGCAAATGCAATAGTGCTGTGATGGACGATGATAACGCCATTCTGTCGGAATCTTCAGCCCCATCCCCAGCTTTTCTGGCATTTTCATCGTAATCTTCATGACTGATGCTTTGATTGTTGAGTGTGGTGCCGTGGTCACTTCCATCTTTCTCCCGCATGTGGTCTTTTGCACTTTTGGGCGGTAGGTTCTCCGTTGTTTTTGCTACACTATCATCCGTGGAATCTGGCTCGGTTCCTTTCCCGTCGTAGTTTTCGAACTGTTTCTCGAGATTAGCGAGACAGTCCCGCAGTTGGCTCTGACAATATATCAGCGGCTGGTATGGCCGTAGGAAAACGAGCGAGCCGTCCTCAGCCACTTTCCATTTGCGGCCCTTCGTGGTTTGTGTAAAGACATCGACCAAGACGTCCGACTTGATCTTGATTCGCTCGGGCAAGGGTTGCTCAATCAAGGATTCCCATCTCGGTGAAACCCTTTCGTTATGGTGTAGTGGAAGCTGGTTCTGCGGTTTGTCTCCTCTCGAAGTGAGGCCCAGCTGGAGGATTGTTTGAGGCTCCGGTTCGCTGGAGATGACTTCGATGGGCGCCATGACCGATTCTTTCATGTCTACCTTTCCGTAGGCAAAAACGTCCCAGTCGACTTGCACCACCTTGGCCGGCTCTTCTTTCAAAAATGCCTCGGTGCTAATTTGCTTCATAACCTCTGAATCGGGGACTCGGGCGCTTCTTGCTTTTCTTACCGACTCTTCCATCTCCTTTTGGTTTTGCTCGAAGCGGCTGAGTCTCTGGTGCGTATAGCGAACACGTCGCAAGAAGTACATCACGTCGTGATAAAAATCCAAGTGTCCCTTATAATCAAAAGGCCCTAGCACCGGTCCTCCCGTGACAGGATTCATATTGCTGGAGTTTGCCAATTCTGTTCCCTCCATTGTTGATTCATTTATCATATCCACCAGACCCAGCTTTGCTTCCAAAGCACGAACTCTTTCCTGAAAGACTTTCATCTCAGTGGGTACGAGCTTTTCCTCATCTTGGCCTGTGGTAGGCCTTAGAGGGACAGGTTCATCTGAATCTGAGAGCTGTTGGTGAGAGTCTTCTTGATTTCCGAGGTTGATCATGGTGCCACCTGCTGCCGCAGGTTTGCTGGATCCGTCTTCGTCCATGACTTCAATTGAAGTCAAGGTACAGCTGATTTGGGTTTCCGGAAGCGAGCTTACTGGCAAAACCCGAGTTTAACTGATTGAAATATGAATCGCTGACTACGTGGGATTGCCAGGCACAATGGCGATCGAAGAGAAACTATCAGCAGAATTTAATGAGATTTGAAGAACAATGGAATTCATGATACCGGTTTTTTCAGAGTATATACAGCCCTTCTTAATACCTCGTTTAGAAGAGGGGTGACTGCGCCCCGTTCCCAAAACAGTATTAATGTGGCCAATAAGCATGTCATTTCTAAAGTGATGAAAGCACACTTTACTGTTATAGGTATAGTATTAGACGTCCTTATGTGTGCATATGCATGTGTGGGTAGTAATCTGCCACGCCTGATCTTACCACACCAGACCGGGATGAGCAGAAAAAGGCAGAAATCACAAAGCTCAGCCAACGGTAAGTTTCTGTTACATGTACCCCTTTGCCTATCTATCTGAGTATGGGTGTGAATATACTACAGCCTGATCTTACCACACCAGAACCTTTCTAACATACCTACATAATCATGCATTCAGGTGTGATTTGAAATATAGCACAGCCTGATCCTACCACACCAGCCCAGGTTGAGCAGTAAAAAGCAGAGAATTCATATCATTCAAAGAAGAAGTTCCTGGGGACAACTGAAGAGGCCCATACATTGCAAACTATTAAGTGCTTTCTGTTCTCTGCCTTATTATTGACGTTTGATAATATGGATGAAGAAAATCTCACGCAAACTGCCACGCCTCAGCCATCCTTCGAACTGCACTCTCCTGCGGTGGACTTTATCGAGAACAGATTGCACCAATATCATCCTGCATTTGACGCTCGCCATGTCCGATTCAGCCCATCACAGGGACAATATGTACCCCGAAGGCCGCTCCCTTCCGATCTATCATTGCCTCAAAACATTATGACAGCAACAATGGCGGCGTCCGACCTTCTTTCTCTTCCCCAGCAGTCGCAAAGACCAGCACCCAGCGCTGTCAACGATATGCTGTTCTGGCATGAAATATTCCCAAAGGCAATGGAGATGCTAAAATTGGACACTTCTTCCTGCGAGATCAAAGACCCAGCGTGGAAAATCCGGCATCTTTCAACATGGGCTGATGTCCAGGCGATACTAGCTCGGGCGCAGCAGCAATACGACTTCTATTCTGGTCCACAGCAAGTCGGCAGGTTCAGAAGGAAGATGCGAAGCGTCTTAGACGACAACACTGCGAAGTTGCAGCAGGTTGCTAGACTTGTACCAGAAGTTGACATCGCCAAGCCAGTCGTCGGCGCCATCAAAGTCGTGCTAGATGTAAGTTTACTGTCTTACCATGACGCTCTCCGCGCGCTAATGGGTTTCCAAGGCCTATCGTCAAGTATCAGAAGTCAGAGAGGAAGTTGCAACAAGCTTCGATGAGTTACCAGAAGCATTCGAGAATATAGAATTTTACCTTCAGACGTATCATGGGGACGACAACATTGCTTCGGCGTCATGTCATCTGATTTGCGCTATTTTGGACGCTGTTGAACACGCTATTGTGTTTTATACCAGTCACCAGGGTAAGTTAAATCAGGATTTAGCTATGGTTTGAAAATAACCCCCAGACATTACTGACTGCGTGTATTACAGCGAAACGAGCGGGTATGGCTATTCTCTCGGGACCAGAGTACCAAAAGAATCTTGTTCAAAGTCTCCAAAAAATCAAAAGCCGCTGCAACTCTTTGGAAAGTCAAGCAAGCAAGTCATTGGCTTATCGTGTTGCCAGCGGTACGTCAAGCATTACATTGGTACTGGAAACGGTGTGGCTAATGAAATGTCTGCAGACAATTCTAGGATGATGGAGCAACAGGCGCTCATGCAGCACGTCCTCGGATCTATCCACAAAGGCGTGCAAATACACAATATGGAAATGAATTTGGGCATGTCTTTCTTTGCAGCATTGTTCAACGAGGTATATCCACTTTTGAACGGACAAGAAAGTATGGCCGTGCCTGCATATTTTGCCTAAGAACTCGGAATATGCATACTGACCAGACATGCAGGAGCTAGAAGATCTCCCTCGCCAATGGGGATAGGTCCGTTTTCATTGCCTCAGCTTATCAAAGAAGAGATTTTCTGGTCGCCCCAAGACATATGGGCCTGTTTATGCATCCCTGCCATAGACGAGGAAGATCTTCGCTATGTAACAGAAAACGCAGAGTTGATGCTTCACAGGGATGGGGGTAGGGCGCAACAGCTTCTGGGGGAATCTCCCTTCAGAAAATGGATGTCTGTGAGCAGCTCTGCCAGGTTGCTCGTGCATGGCGATTTTCAGCCGCCCTTCGATATCTCGCCTCTGTCTGTGGTCTGCACCCTTCTGACCCACACGTTCAGAAACTTGGGCAGTAACTTCGTTAGTCTTGTTTTCTTCTGCGGTCGACATCAGATCTGGGACGTACATCGAGGTGGCTCGGCCATAATTCGGTCCCTCATCGATCAGCTGTTGCGCCAGTGTGCGTTTGGTCCAATTCGACCAGAGACAAATATGTCTTTGGAGGACCTCGATCGTGATGACATCAGAGCTCTGTGTGAGGTGTTCATTTCGCTGTTCCGCCAGCTGTCGTCACATATGCAGGTTTTCTGTCTCATCGATGGTATTTGCTTATATGAGGCTGATCAATACTTGGACGGAATGGATATTGTCATCATGAGCTTGATAAGCCTGGTAGAATCGGGAGGTTATGGGATGTGGCCAACTTTTAAACTCCTCATCACAAGCCCCAGTCCCACAGTGGAGGTTAGGAAAGTCTTTGACCCAGAACCAGACACATTACTTTCTATACAAGGACCTTCCCTGGTAAATGGTGGGATGGGACTAGCTGGCCTTCAGGAGCAGTTTAACTTTGGTATTCATCGGACGGAGTAGAGATATTCCAAGATCGATAAGCAAACCAAAGAGAACAGTGAAAACAGGCGATTGTGTCATCATTTTGTAATTTTCATTTCAAAATGACTTTCCTCTGGGTGGGATTCCCTGCAGTTGAATTCATCCCAATTACCCCGCCATTAGGAGGCGAATACGGAGCCGGTGGGGACCGGGCTGGAGTCCTGCGACGCCGGCGCCGTGTGGCTGACGGCCGCTATGGCAGTGACAATGGCGAAAACAATGTTAAAACACATCCTGTCGGTTAGACGAAATGAAAATGTTCTCAAATGTTGCTGCTTGTGAGAAAAGATTCAGTCGTGTTGTATAGACAAAAGGAGATTTTGTGAGTAAAAAGATGCAGTGAGGCAGGAGAAGATAAGTTTAGTGATGGACAGGGAGAAGAGGTTCTGGACATGTCGGTGAACCGCCGCGTTTATATCACATCTGGATTGTGGCCGAGGGATTACCCCCGATCTGTTGCACTGATAGGTTCATAACGCGACACTAGCAAAGAACTCTACAACGACGAAACGCCGGGATCTATCTCTAATCCAGCGCCTGGGAAATAAATTGACAACATTTTAGCAGCACAGCACTCACTTTCTCCTAAACGTTCCGCGGGCCACTGTAGCGTGCCTCCAATGTACACGCACCAAGGGAACACCAGCAAACCATACCCAAACGCCAATTGGCTCGCGCCCCTACCCGATTCCCCGTTCGGGCCTGGTGGGGCCGGTCCGAAGGGCGATGAGGCGTGCGCGCCGCAGCAAAGCCGCCCGCAACCAAAATTTTCCCACAGCGAGCGCAGGCGAAAGCCCCAACCGCCACATCATGCACCGCACTCACTCACTCACTCATTCACTCATGTCGCTCTCGCCTCTCACTGAGTCACTCACTTGCTCCTTCACTCATAACCGTGCAAACTCACCATATCGAACCCCACCCCCACGCTCTCGCGCGCTTCCGCCCGTGGCGCCGGCGTGGCGATGTCTTCTCCGGCGCTCGGCGTGCGCAGCATGTCTCTCGGGTTTCACAGCGCAGTGACCCTTATCCGCGACTCGGTGCTGCTCACGTCCATGTTCCTGCTCCTTGTCACGTTCGTCATCATCGGGTACCGTCTGCTCCTCCACCCCCTCGCTCGCGTCCCCGGGCCCAGGTTGGCGGCCATTTCCAATGTCTGGTACGCTTGGCAAGTTCGCAACGGGCGGATGCTGAAGTTGGGTAAGACGCTGCACAAGCGCTACGGTCCGGCTGTGCGCGTTGGGCCGAACGAGGTCTGGTTCGATTCTGCAGATGCTTTCAAACACATTTACCGTATGCTCATCGTCAAAACTTACTTCACGGTTGAAACGATCACTAACTCTCACCCAGGTGCTGGCAGTGGCTACGAAAAATCCGACTTTTACCGTACGTACGTCCTCTGCCAAGGCCTTTCCGAACATATTACATGACACCACACTTACCGCCATCACACAGTATCTACTGCGCTGCAGAGGCCGGACATCACTTACACCCCTCTGCCGACATTTACATCCCCCGATACCCTCGACTTGCTCTCCGAGCGCGACACGCAGAGGTACCGCCTCCAACGTCGACTAATAGGACCCCTCTACCAAACTGCACATCTGAAGCGCCACGAACTAGCGCTCGATGCCGTGCTGGAAAGGGTCGTCGCCACCCTCCGCTCACTAGACGGCGCCGAGGTCGACCTGAAGGAGTGGATGCACATCATCGCGGTTGAGTCCCTCTCGGCTGTCGTTCTCTCCTGGTCGCCCAACTACCTCCGTGACAGGACGGACCACGCATCCAGCAGCCACGGCTACATGGGCTGGCGCCGTAAGTCCGTCTTTGGGCTCTTTCCCTTAGCCGTCCGGGCGGAGCTGCTCTCCAAGGCGCTCGGGCGCGCGTTTGCCAACATCTGGCTCGTGACGTACAGGACGCCCCGGAACTTTAGGCCCTTCTTCACGGGCGTTTACAGGCAGGTCTCGCGGCGTGTGACGGCCGCCCTCGCGGGTAAGCCGGTCCCGAAGAACGACCGCAAGGACGACTTCCTCGCAGACCTGATCCGGCTGCATAAGGACAAGCCGGAGTTCTCCGAGGCATACCTGCGCCGCATGGCCATCACCAACTTCGGCGCCGGTCACGAGACCATGTGCTCAGCGCTGACGTCCATCATGGCCATGATCGGGTCCCACCCAGGTGTGCAGCGGAGAGCGACCGGGGAGGTGCGCTCCGCGGCCGTGGATCCCAAGGTCTACGACCACGCCGTGCGTCTGGTCTACACCCAGGCAGCCATCAAGGAGGCTCAACGGCTTTACCCCGTCCTCGGGATGGCGCTGCCCCGCACGGTGCCCCCCGAAGGCCTCGCCGTCCACGGGCAGACGTTCCCGCCGGGGACGACCGTCGGGTGCAACCCCGTGTCTCTGCACAGGAACACGGCCATCTTTGGGGACGACGCGGAAGAGTACAACCCGGACCGCTGGCTGGACGCGGAAAGAGACGTCAGGTCCATGGAGCGTTTCAACCTCACCTGGGGCGGCGGCGGGAGGATGTGTCCCGGGCGACACCTCGCCGAGCTGGTGGTGTACAAGACCATCCCTGCTCTGCTGGAGCACTTTGACGTGGAGGTTGTCATGCCCCCTGAAGAGGAGATACAGTACTACTTCATCGCGATGCTTACGGGCGTGAGAGCCCGGTTCGTGGCGAAAAGCAAGAAGGAATGATACCAATGGGTCAAGGTTGATGTGCTTTATGAGGTGATTGATGCGGATGTTCTACCATTAGGCCCCGAGGCATGAGCTGATACGGCAATGAGAGATGGGTCGAGAGCACCTTGAAGAACTGCACTTTTTAGCACGAGAAACGAGAAAAATCAACAAAGAGTTATTAAGGCATTGATAGAGTAGACATGTTCGACGTTACCAAGACATAGAACAAGCGTAATCACCCCAAGTAGCATAGCAATCTTTTCGGGAACCTCGAGGAGGTGGCGGAGGTCATGACTTTCCTACTCAACGTTCCAGATAGGTGGTTCGAAGTATCGACCGGTTTCGTGGGGTATTCACGACTGTGGAAATGCTTGAATATTCGAACAGCCTTTAGGTATGCGCATGGTGCCGTTGAATGCATGGCATCATCAGAACCACATGGCAAAAGGTCAGAAAGCCGAAGTAGCGTTGATATTCTCACAGTGCTCATTGTACAGTGTAAGAGATGCTGCAACAGTATACAAAGTACCTGGCGTTTCCTGGAGAAACGGTGCATCCGACGTCCCGCGAACCGCAACCCCCCCCCCCCCACACTTCAGACTCGCCAGTCAGAGGCATGGATTCCGAGTGTCTGGTGGCGCCGGCGTAGCGCAGCGTAGCAATCCACATCCCACCTCCAAATTCCCATTTGCAACACGTCGCCAGCCTCGGACGCATCGCATCACCAAAAGAACCCAAAGTCGGCTCGACAGCCGCAAACCGCACGTCATGGTTCTCCAAGATCTCGGTCGCCGCATCAACACGGCCGTCTCGAATCTCACCAGAGAGCCCAATCTCGACGAAAAGGTGCGTCCGCCGCCCTCTCCGTGTCCCCCCCCTTCCTCACCCCGCAGAACCCCCTTGGTCGCATCGCCACCGGTTGGCAGAGACAAGCACAGTTATGCTAACGGACGGCTCTCTCCCGCCCCGCGTTACAGGCTTTCGATGGCATGCTCAAGGAGATCTGCGCCGCCCTGCTCGAAGCAGACGTCAACGTGCGCCTCGTCGGCCAACTGCGAAAGTCCATCAAGAGCACCGTCAACTTCAAGGAACTCCCGCCCGCCGTCAACAAGAAGCGCCTGATCCAGAAGGCCGTTTTCGATGAGCTCGTCAAGCTTGTCGATCCCCACGCCGAGCCCTTCAAGCCCAAGAAGGGCAAGTCCAACATCATCATGTTCGTCGGCCTGCAGGGTGCCGGCAAGACGACGACGTGTACGAAGCTCGCACGACACTACCAGGCCCGCGGCTTCAAGGCCTGTCTCGTGTGCGCCGATACCTTCCGTGCCGGTGCCTTTGACCAGCTGAAGCAGAACGCCACCAAGGCCAAGATTCCCTACTACGGCTCATTGACCGAGACGGATCCCGCCGTCGTCGCCAAGGAGGGTGTAGACAAGTTCAAGAAGGAAAAGTTCGAGATCATCATCGTCGACACTTCGGGCAGGCACAGGCAAGAGGAGGCACTGTTCCAGGAGATGGTGGACATTCAGACGGCGATCCGCCCCGACGAGACCATCATGGTGCTCGACGCGTCCATCGGTCAGCAGGCCGAGTCGCAGGCCAAGGCCTTCAAGGAGGCGGCCGACTTTGGTGCCATCATCATCACCAAGACGGACGGCCACGCCTCGGGCGGTGGCGCCATCTCCGCCGTCGCCGCAACACATACGCCCATTGTCTTCATCGGCACGGGCGAGCACATGCTCGACTTTGAGCGCTTCGCGCCGCAGCAGTTCGTCTCCAAGCTGCTCGGCATGGGCGACATGGCCGGCCTCGTTGAGCACGTCCAGAGCCTGAAGCTGGACCAGAAAGACACGATAAAGCACATCACTGAAGGCATCTTCACGGTTCGCGACCTGCGGGACCAGCTCTCCAACATCATGAAGATGGGCCCGCTGTCCAAGATGGCGGGTATGATCCCGGGCATGAGCGGCATGATGCAAGGGATGGACGACGAGGAGGGCAGCGCGAAGCTCAAGCGTATGATCTACATCTGCGACTCAATGACGGACAAGGAGCTCGACTCGGACGGCAAGATTTTCATCGAGCAGCCGACACGGATGACGAGGGTGGCCCACGGGTCGGGCACGTCGGTGCGCGAGGTCGAGGACCTCCTAACGCAGCAGCGCATGATGGCCGGCATGGCCAAGAAGATGGGCGGCAACATGAAGAACATGCAGCGCGCGCAGTCGGCCATGGCCGGCGGGAATAAAGCCCAGCAGCTGGCGGCCATGCAGAAGCGTCTGCAGAGCATGGGCGGTGCCGGGGCCGGCGGTGGCGGCATGCCGGACATGGGCAGCCTCATGAAGATGCTGGGCGGCGGCGGCGGCGGTGGCGGGATGCCCGACATGTCGGCGATGATGCGGCAGATGGGCATGGGCGGCGGTATGCCCGGCATGCCCGGTATGCCAGGCATGCCGGGAGGTGGCCGAGGACGCCGCGGTTAAATTTCACCAACTTCTTTCTTCTCATTTTCCTGTTTTCCATTTCCCCACCTTGCTGTTTTATCCATATCATTGCCGGTGGTGAGAGAGGCGGGAGGGATGACGCCTAAGAAAATATCCATACAAATGATGTTGCATCATTTTAGCGACCGAAAGTTGAGAGACCACAGGGGAGGGAGAGAAAGAGAGATGGAGGGGATACACTACTTGGGTGAAGACATGGTCACATGACGGTGAAATTTGGAGTCGCTAGGGCGCGGGACCACATTCGGAGCCCTCTTTTACTCTCATAGGTTTGGCGTTTAGGAGGTCGAAATGCAGCAAAAAGAAGTCTCTCAACCCTGAACACAATGCTACCCTATGGATTTGGCGTGCCGGGTTCGATGCTAATCGTTCATCCTAGACGGTGGCCGGCCTCGCGAACCTGCCCCTCCACGGCTGTCGGGACGAGTGATGGAAGACGCACGCCTGGAGTCGCGAGGCCGCGCGGAATGTGGCGGAGAGGAGCCGTCCGTCGCGATTGACGTACCCGGCTTGTTCTTCACTCGGTTCTCCCTCGTCCTTCGTTATGTTCTGCCTAGGCCGGAGAAGGTCCGACTCGGGCGTGTCGATCGTTCGCAACGGGGGCCAAGACCGCAGGCGAGCAGGCTGAGATGCCGCCTCAGCCAGGCGAGAGCCTTGGCGCGACGGGCGAGGATTCATTGATTCTCGGAATGATGGTGATTGGCAGTGATCCGATCTGCTGGGCCGCGTGATGTGGTGTGTGTGGCATGGGGAGGAAACAAACTTCGGCGCGGGATGACGTCGGCCAGGCCCCGCTGTGTCGTCCTATGCTGGCCTTTGGAATTTGGAAGTCTTGGTTTTTTTTTTTTTTTTTTTTTCAACTTTTGTCTTTTCGCGCCGTGTATTGGCTTGACGCTGGTCTGGACGCCGCCGTGTTGCGATACGAGAGCGTCGTTTTCTTCTTGCGTGCAGCTAGGTATAGAGCTCTCCATCTCGGGTCATTTTACAGATGGCCATGCAGGGATACCTATCTCATTTCTTGTCCGCTTGCGAGTGAGATGGCGCGGTCCTTGCCACACGGGGAAACCAAACCATCGTCAGGCCAGCACCCAAGGCGAAACGGGCTATGTCTTCTCTGTGTCTCTCCGAGATGAAAGTCGTTCAAAATCTCGCTTAAGTGACGCTGCACCTGGTCTTCCGGCGGTCATACACACACACACACACACACGCACACGCACGCACATGGGTAGCGGAGTGATATCACTTACTATCGAAATGGCCCCGAACGTGTTTGATCGCCCAGGCACTTTTGTAGCCTTGGAATTCTTGATGCGCCAGAAATGACATGCTTTTGTGCAGCGTTGCGGTACGCCTCGGAGGCGATTGTCTTGTCCAACGGAATATTGACTTGAACTACGTGGTGCTCTACATCCCAAAGGCCCACCGGCCCAACAGAATAAACTAGGTACACTACATGGCGACATGTCTCGAATGGATGTGTGTCTCCCCCCCCCTCGGACCAGTTCTTAAACTACTGTGTGTACCGTAATTAGGTCCGGACTGCCATGGCGTAAGGCTGCCCGTCGACAAGTCCAGACCTCTCCAGGTTCCTGGCGTTCCGAGGCTCTGATTGGGCGACTCGGCTCTCGAGTGCCGGTGACAGGGGTTCCAGGCGATGGGAACGGACCTGATACCCACGCGTCGGGGGCGGGATGACGTCGGTCTGTCGTTGTATTATTCATTTTCTGCGGGTGGCTGAAGTCGTCTTCGTCGTGTTCACTCGAGTAAGAGAGAGATGGAGAGGAATCAAGTGGTTGTCAACAAACATGGATGCCTTGAATGTCCGCCTTGGCTTTTGTCTTGTTTTGTTTAATCGTCTTTTGTTATTGTTTTTTCGCTTTCTACGGCGCCCGCTTGACAAATCACCGAATCGCCAGCCACAATCTGGGGTTTTAGTGCGGAACAAGACTTGGACTGGTACACACAGATGTCATGGGTATACGATGTACGGATACATCGTACGAATAGGCGACCTTGAACCACCCATGTCTCGTCACCCTCCTCCCGGAGCCAGTCGTCCTGCTCATAGAAACGCCCCTAGCAATGGGGTAAAAAGCCTGAAATGAGCCAGGGGTGGAATGACATACGGCATGTCCACCCTTGCTGCGCAACAGCCTCTTGCTTGCGCGTTCGTGCGCTGTACGGAGTATTGCGTTACGCTACGTATCCACACACACACTCACTCACTCCATTCAACGACCCTTTTTCATCCCAAATCGATGATGGTGCCTCAATTACGGTATTGAACAAATATGACGTCAAGAAAAAAAGAAGAAGAAGAAAAAAAAACGCCTTCCTTTCTACCCCTGCCGCATGTCGTTTTGGGCGCCTGTCCCGGCCCAAGCACCACACTACAATACCTTATTCCTAAGCTTAAATTCGACGCTACCCGTCTCCTCCTTCTCTACTCGCTTCCCTCTCTTGACGTTCAAGTCACCACCAACCAGCCATCCATCCAACATCAAGCTCGCCAAGAAACATCTTGCAGCTCCCGGCGAGGCACAAGCACAGCCATCCCGTCTTGGCGTGGTCTCTTGCGAGTCTTGATCCGACTACATCCGTACTAGCAGCCTTGCACACACATTGGAAAGCAAACAAGCCACCAACGCTTACGCTAAAGCAACTTAACAACAACAACAACAACAACGCCATCATCGCCATGGGTATCTTTGGAAAGCGTCGTGAAAACGCGGCGACCGCCCCTGCCAGCGGCCACGCCAACGGCCACCACGGAGTCGCCAACAACAAGCGCCACACCGCCGAGCCGTACACCATGTCCCGCCGTCCTACCTTTGGCCAGTGGCTCAAGGGAACGTTCATCGACATCATCACCATGATCTGCATGGGCGCCCTCGGTCTCGGTGTAAGTAATTTCTGGAAAAGAAGATTGGGAAAGAAAAACGCCCCATGCGCGACAGCTTCACTAACACAAACACCCACCCCAGATCTACATGGCCCCTCCCGCCCCGAACCGCTCCTTCGCCGTCACTTTCGCCGACGGCGAGGTCGTCTACCCTCAGTTCGCCTACCCCCTGCGTAACGAGATCATCCCCATCTGGCTCGCCGCCTTCCTGGCCTCCGTCATCCCCATCTGCATCATCCTCCTCATGCAGATCCGCATCCGCTCCTTCTGGGACGTCAACAACGCCGTCATCGGCCTGCTCTACTCGCTCATCTGCGCCGCCGTCTTCCAGGTCTTCCTCAAGTTCCTCATCGGCGGCCTGCGCCCCCACTTCCTCGAGGCTTGCCAGCCCGACCTGTCCCGCGTCACCGCCAACCAGGGCGGCATCGCCCGCACCGGCTACAGCGCCGCCGGCTTCCAGTCCCTCTACGTCACCAAGGAGGTCTGCACCGGCGACCAGAAGGAGATCAACGACTCCCTCGAGAGCTTCCCCAGCGGCCACACCACCGCCGCCTTCGCCGGCCTCGGCTACCTCTACCTCTACCTCAACGCGAAGCTCAAGGTTTTCTCCGACTACCACCCGGCCATGTGGAAGCTCATCGTCACCTACATCCCCATCCTCGGCGCCGTCCTCATCGGTGGCGCCCTCACCATCGACGAGTTCCACAACTGGTACGACGTGTTCGCCGGCGCCGCCATCGGCACCGTCTTCGCCTTCTCCGCCTACCGCATGACCTACGCCGCCGTGTGGGACTTCCGCTTCAACCACATCCCCCTGAACCGCGGCCAGCCCTTCTCCTACGGCGCCGGCGCCGAGCTCTACGACGCCGTCTTCACCCGCAAGGCCGGCTGGGGCAACCGCGGCTCCGGTGGCATGATGCACGGCGCCGAGAAGCACCTTGGCCATGGTCAAGGCGCAACCACCGGCATGCATGGTTCCGGTGTCAACGATTATGGTGAGCCTGTTGGCTCTCGCAAGCCCGTCGGCTCCGGGTCGCGTCATCCCGATGCGATGGTCTAAGCCTGTGACCCGCTCCCCCATCATTATCCTCTTTTTTCGACGGATGCTCGTGAAGCACCCCCCATCGAACGTCGATCAGCCGACGAGTTGAAAACGCATGAGCTTTTGCCACATTGGCATTGGAGTGTTTGGAGTTTTGAGACTAACGAGTGACGGCCTTGCTGGGAAGACATACACATAATACCCTACGGCACGAGAGTGCGTAAAATAATCTTTCCGCGCGTTGGTAGGATTAATGAATTATTGTTATCAATACCTTAATCATCCATCAGTGTGATATGAAACTATGTTTTTGTCATTGACTGCTTGTGCCATCCAGCCACCCTGCTGTTCCAGGAAGTTGCTCTAACGAGGTCATCTTCGCTATGGACTCAAACCGGTTTTCCAGTCTGCTTTTGGCGTGTAGTGTCCAAACTTCCCTTTCTCCTACAATAAGTCGTGTCCATCTACCCCCTTTCATGCAGATACACCGGCAACCTCGAGCGGCTTCTCGAAATCCCCCAAGAACAGCCACCTCCCGCTCTCCTTCCATCCCTTCTGCTTCCACTCGTTGGCGCCTTTAGGGAAGTACTCCATGACCCTGTACAGGCTCTCGTCGTGCGCCGCGACGACCAAGACGTCCGGGCTCGCATCGAACCCCTTCACCGCCTCCAGCGTCTCCCGCGCTTCGCGCACGTCCAGCGCCAGCAGCGTGACCCCGTCCGGCGTCTCGGGGATCGTGTGGAACGCGATCCCGTCGGCGTCGCCGCCCGCCGGGCCCAGAACCCTGCTGTAGTGCTTCAGCTCCGCCGCGTTGCCGGCGACGGGGTGGATCGCGTGGAACACGCGCCCCGCGCAGCACAGCCCCCCCGGCAGGCGCACGTCCTCGGGGAGCCGCGCGCCGGCGTGCGGCCGCAGCACGGAGCTGTGGTGGAACGAGTCGCCGGCCAGGTATATGAAGCTGTCCGCCGTCGTGCGCGCCAGGGCGTTGATGTGGCCGACGGCGTGGCCCGGGGCCGAGAGCAGGTAGAAGCTGCCGTCGCCGAAGTAGTCGAAGGCCGCGAGGCCGCCGATCTCGAGGTCGGCGGCGCCGAAGTCGAGCTCGCGGACCTCGCGGCCCTGGAACTCGCGGGCGAGGATCGGGGCGTCCGGCACGGCGGGCCAGCCTGGGAAGTAGGCCTGCTTGACGCCCGGCCCGACGACGAGGGAAGCGGAGGGGGGGAAGAGAGACGGGCGGCCGATGTGGTCCGGGTGAGCGTGGCTGTGTGCGTGTGCGTGTGCGTGTGAGCTTCCGACGGGGCTGTTTCACATACGGACTGATTCAAAGGCGTGGTGGGAAGCACATTACCTCCAGATCAGGGCTTCGATGCTCCCCAGATCAACGCCGTTCTCGGCCAGAATCTCCGAGACGTACTTCTGCGCCGTCATGGTCATATCCATTGCCTTGGCCGCCTCGATGACGGGCGGCGAAAAGTCATTCTCCCAGTCTTTCGGCAGGCCGAGGTCGAACACTATACGCCGCTCGTTCCCCTCCGCATCTGCATGGGTCATCAGGAAGGCGTATCCGACGCCGTGCCATCTCTCGAAGCCCTTGATGGCGGGGCCCATGAAGGGCGCCGTGGGGAGGTCGCCATCGAGGGTCGTGTCGATGACGGAGACGTGGACCGTGGAGGTCGATGCGGGGATGTTCAGAGAGTCTATCGCGGACATTTTGTGATGTTTCTTTCCGTCTGTCGCTTATAAACAGTGGATTCTGTCATTCCTGGGTCAAAATAGCCATGCCGGCAGCGCCGGCTTATATATTATGAGCCGAGGCGGCTTAGTGACGTTCTCCGCCCCGACCGACTTTCTACTTCTGGAACATTGTGCATGGCTGTTTCTGGAGCTAACTATGGTACAGTTGCAAGTCCGTCCCTCTTAAGGTTGCACAGGCACGCTATAAAACAGTAACACGGCCGTAACAGCCAAAGTATAAGTGCTACGCCCAACACTCACCACGAAAGACTTTGGAGCTAACATGTTGCAGCATGCCGCAGTGATGGGTACGGGTATGCAGCTTTCGGCGAGACTCGGACACTCGGGTGGCGGAGCATGCGGGCTGACCAAGATAACAGGCCGCGGATAAGCCGGGGATGGCTCGGATTTCCTGGTGCCAAGGCTTTGGTCCGGACGACAAAGCCGGACACTCCCCAAAGTTACCCGCAACAAACATGTTGATGGGCTTTCCGATGTCAGCTGCCACGGCTTCAGCCGTGGCCTCCACGTTATAGATATAAGTGTGGACGCCTTAGCCATTCAGTCATCCAAGACGAACATATCCATGAAGCATGACCCAAAACGGTAGCGTCCTGCATGAACGGTTCTCTTGGTCCAGAAGCCTAACATCGGAAAGGGAACCAACGATACTAGGCTAGCCAGTGGTTAGTAGGCCCTCTATGGCTTATCATGTCGCGCTCTGCGCTGCGATAAACCATGGGGCAGTCTCAGCTCTCGGCCCAACGATCTCTCCACAACAGGCCACGCCAACTTTCTCGTTAGACATGAACAATACCCTGAAGCATGAACAATACCCTGAAGACGCTGAAGACTCCAATCTGCATCAGCAGCAAGTCAGACGTGTAGGAACTTGTGTGCATTGCAGCATAATACTTATTCAGGGCTTATATCGGTCATCACATTATATATGATTTGTGACCAAGCCGGGTTGAGATGATAAGTCATTATTAAGTACAGCATTGACTAAATGGCAAGACTACGTACGGGTCCTCTTGACTTGTTTCATGCGAATTCGCATTCCTCATAAAAAGGCCGGCCAAACAGGCCGCCAACCTGAATCGGATTCTACCCAAATCTCGGTCATGCCCTTTGCCTTTCCTCCCCCCAGAAGCTCGGCCGTCAAAGTCATGGCGTGGAAGTTAGCCTCTAGCTACCACGCTTTTGGTGCAAACAATATTCCTCTACGTGATAGTGGTATCATTTACGCTTCCTTTTGCATAAATAGCAAAAGAACAAAAAGAAAAACGACGAATTCGACAATGCCTCTTTTCTCTCTCTCTTCCTCCATATGACCTGACATCATCAGACAGAAATTTCATCAGACCTTCTCGTTGCTTCTGGTGTGGTTGGGGGGGGAGCCCTCGCCGGTGCGGGTCTCGCCCGAGAGGTTGGTGTTGGTGCGGTGCTGGGAACGGCTGCGGCGGCCGGTCGACTCGCCGGTGTCCCTGCGGCCGAAGGAGTGCCAGCTCTTGAAGGAGCTGAAGGTGATGGTCTTCTTGAAGTCGCGGCCGTCATCCTCGCCGCCCTGGCTGAAGGCGCCCTTGACGACCTGGTGGTCGTCGAGGAGGTTGAAGGTGCGCTTGACGAACTTCCAGGCCTCGACGCCGAAGACGTAGAGGAGGGTGAAGCCGACGACGATTCCCCACTCCCAGGTGATGCCGATGTGCTTGAAGAGGGTGGTGTTGAGGGTCGGGATGTAGATGACGGGGAAGACGGAGAGGGCGCCGATGATGACAGCCCAGAAGAGGAACCGGTTGGAGTAGATGTCCTTGAAGAAGGGGAACTTGCTCTTGCTGTCGGGGTTCAGGGCGAACATGGAGCGGCGCAGGCTCTTGAACTCCCAGGCCGAGATGAGGATGATCCAGGTGAGCTCGGCGAAGACGGCGGCGCGGGCGCGGAAGACTGGCCGGCAGGCCTCGGTGAAGGTCTTGTTGCACTCGCTGCCCAGAGCGCCGCCGTTGGCGCCGTAGACGACGATGATGAAGGTGGCCAGGGTCAGGGCGCCCATGATGATGCCGTAGACGACCATGTCGACGATGATCTGGTTCGTGAAGACGCCGCGCTTCTTGTTCTGGGGGGGCTTGCGCATGACGTCGGCGGCGGCCTGCTCGCGGCCGAGGCCGAAGGCGGGGAAGGACGAGGTGACCATGTTGATCCAGAGAATCTCGAGGGGCGAAATGGGGAAGACGGAAAGGTCGGCGCCGTCGCGGAACGCGAGACCGCAGCAGAGGAGAATGACCTCGCCGACGTTGGAGCTGAGCAGGTGGAGAATGAACTTTTGGATGTTGTCGAACATGCGGCGGCCCTGACGGATGGCGGAGACGATGGAGTTGAACTTATCGTCGGTCAAGACGATCTTGGAGGCCGACTTGGCAACATCGGATCCGGAGCCCATGGCGATACCGACGTCGGCACGGGCCAGGGAGGGGGCGTCGTTGACGCCGTCACCGGTCATGGCCATGAAGGCGTTCCTGCGGCGGAGGGCGTCGATCATGCGCGTCTTTGTGTCGGGGGCGCAACGGGCGATGACCAGGGGCAGCTCAGGCATGGCGTCGATCTCCTCGTCCGTCATCTTGTCAAAGTCGGTGGCCTTCTGGACAATGGACTTGGCGAGAGCGTCGGGCAGGACGCCGAGGTTCTTGGGGATGATGCCGACCTCCTTGGCGATGGCCTTGGCGGTCTCGGGGTGGTCGCCAGTGAGCATGTGGACCTTGATACCGGCGGAGGAGCACTCGGCAATGGACGGCTTAGTCTCACGGCGGGGAGGGTCGTAGATGCCGGCCAGGCCGAGGAGGGTGAGCCCCTGCTCGACCTCAGCGCGCAGCGCGTTCTCCTTCTCCTGCGAGACGTCGGCCTGCTTGGTGGTGAAGTGTCCGTCCCAGCTGCGGTAGCCGACAGCGAGCACACGCTGGCCTTGAGAGGCCAGGTTGTTCATTTGGCTGAGGACCTCTTCCTTGAGCTCCTCGGTGAGCTCGATCCTGTCGTCACCGAAACCGATGTGGCTGCAGAGGTCCAGGATCCGCTCAACGGCACCCTTTGTGAAGACGAGACTGTTCTCAGGGCCCCAAATATCGGAAGCCTCGTCGGTCTGGGGAAGGTCGTAGATGACGGACATGCGCTTGATGGAGCTGTCAAAGGGGAATTCGGCAAGCTGCTTCCAACCGAGACCCTCGAGGGACTTCTTTCCGAGCTTGAAGCGATGGGAGAAGATCTGGAGGGCAATCTCAGTAGGCTCGCCGGTGGTCTGCCACTTGGCCTCTTCCTCATCGTACCGAACAGTGGCCAGGTTGCAGAGGGCGGAAGACAGGAGGAAGGCCTTGAGGCGGGGCGTCATCTCGGCCTCGTTCTCGGCCTCGGGCTCCTTGGCGGGCGGCTTGTTCTGCAGCTTCTCCTCGGGCACGTCGAACTTGAGGACGGCGGCGGAACGCTCTTGGTCGTAGTCGCGCTTGGGAGCCTCCTCGACCTTCTCCTCCTGCTCCTTGGACTCGGAGTAGGTGACGCGGCCTTTAGTCGGATCGTTGGGGCTCTGCGAGTCGCGGACAGTGTAGGTGTGGGAGAAGGGCAGCCAGGCCTTGCGGACAATCATGGCACCCTGGGTCAGGGTTCCGGTCTTGTCGGAGCAGATGTTGGTGACGCCGCCGAGGGCCTCAAGGGCGGAGAGATCTCGGACGACGACGTTGGACTTTCTCATGACAGTCACGGCAACAACCATCGTGATGGTGAGTACACTGTTGCGGTGTCAGAAAAACGGAAAAAACCGACTGAATTGGGAAGTAAAAGAGCCCGAGACTTACGCGACGAGAGATTCGGGAATGATGGCAATACCGAGCGAAACGGCGTAAATGATGACTTCGCCAGTAACGTCGAACTTGTGAGCAGCGAACACGATGATGGCCAGAATAATGGCACAGCCGAAGAGGATGTAAGCCAGGGCGGCGAGCTTCTTCTGCAGAGGAGTACCCTCGGTGAGACCCAAGAACTTGCCGACGGCATCGTAGGTGCGCTTGGTGAGCCCAACGACAGGCTGGCGCTTGCCGTACTTCTTGTAGTTCATGGAGCGGCCAGGCTTGCGAGTCTTCTTCTGTGTAGAGGCGGCGATCTTGCCAACCTCGGTCTGCATGCCGGTAGCGATGACGATGCCGCGGCCACGGCCCTTGCGGACGATGGTGGTGGCGTAGGCGATGTTGAGACGGTCACCGATACCGACCTCACCCTCCTCGGTGGCGGGCTTTTCGCTGCCGGGGACCGTAATGTTGGCTTCGGAGATCTTGTCGACTGGCTGGGCCTCACCAGTCAGGGACTGTTCGTCGCAAGACAGGTTCATGGCCTCAAAGACACGCATATCGGCTGGCACAGTGTCGCCCATCTTAAGTAGAATGATGTCACCGGGGACGACTTCGGCGCTGTTGGGCTGGTCAGCGTGTTTTCGCCAAACAGAATCAAGCAAGATGGCCAAGGGTCAGAAGGGCCACGAAGTTGAAAGTCGGCAGAAGGCTGCGCGTCGCCGGATTGCGTGAAAACTTACTTGGGGATGACCTTTGTCTTTCCGTCGCGCAAAACATTGGCTGAGGGAGCAGAGAGGGTGCGCAGCGCGTCCATCTGCTTCTCGGCGCGGTATTCCTGCCAGAAACCGATCGTAACATTGGCGACAATGACGACGGCGAGAACACCGCCCTCGATGTAGTCGTTGATAGCAAAACTGAGGATCATGGCGAAGAAGAGGACGAGGACCATGGCATTGAACAGCTGTTTGCTGAGAATGGTGTACCATGGCATCGACTCCCCGACCTCGAACTCATTGGGAGGGTATTTTTGTTGCGCTTCCTGGACCTGCTGCGATGACAATCCCTTATCGGGGTCGACTCCGAGCGCCTGGGCGGTCTCTTGGACCGACAGCAGGAAGGGGTGCTTGGGGTAGTCGGTAGACATCGTGTCGTGTCCGGGCTGGCGACGTCGAAAAGGTATTGGCTACTTCCATCCACGAGGGAAGTCTGGTAAGGAGGAAGCTTAAACCAGGTTGGTGAGAGTCAAAAGTAGGTTTGGGTGTCTTTCCACGTGAGGTCAGAACAAAGATTGGCTTCGAGAACCAAGAGGAAGCTTCTACTTCTTCTTCTTCTCTTACTACTGCTGCTGCGTTTGTAGGGTGGAGAAGAAGTTGTGTTTTTGGGTTTGGCAATCTAGACTTTGAGATCGCAGAGGTTTGGGGGGGGGACAAGGCTACCTTTATAGATAGACAGCCGAGAGACTTGTAGACTTAAACCTGTCAAGGTCTAGAAAATTTCGGAGGCTTGTGTTGCGTGGCTCGCAAGGTCATCGGGGTACATAGCAGGAGCAGAAAGAAAGAAACGAAGCCATGAGAGACGCCAAGGTCTGGGCAGATGATAACAGAACACCCCCTCCCCGCCTACTCCACCATCTCCTTGGCGGCCCGCGGGGTGACAAAATGAACCGCCACTCTAACCTGGCTTCCACACTGACCGATTTTCTGCCTCGATATCACCGTTTCGAAGCCGCGAGAGCTGGTGCAGAGCACTGCGAGATACTGACAAGAGCAAGCTCTCGCGTAACGTAAGATTGTCTTCGAGCCAAGTGTATTGCTGTTGGGAGAGGAATACATATTGCTTTGGAGTCTCTGAGGTCTACGTCCTGCGTTCATCTTTTTTGGACTTCAGTAGATAGAACCTTCAACATCTGACCCCGCGGCCCACAACAGCCATGTGAAAGAGGAGCCACATATCTGAGAGTGAGAGCCGAGCGATGGCGGCATTGACTACAATGAGATTCTTCATGTATCTAGGAGTATCCAACAAGACAACTGCCTACAAAACATCTCTCTTGGGGTGCACATAATTAAGGTATTGCCATGCTCCCAAGACACGATATAAGAACGCTGAGAGAGAGTAAGGAGAGGGATAAGAAAAGAACAAACTCAGTCCTGGGTTGCAGCTGGCTACGACTTCGAGCTTAAGCACTGTGAGGTACTTGCGTAATCTATCATGAACATATGCCATTGGATTTTGTCGTGACCTTATAGGTCCTATATAAGGCGTTAGTTGCTGCTCTGCCACTAACGGCGTCGTTTTTAGTATGACAGATTTATAGTTCAGTCAATGGTACTGCATTTCTGTATCCATCGCCTTGTTTACCGTTCGCAAACCGTGATATCGGAGCTACAAAGGCACTGGCTGTGAACGCGTAAGTACAGCGGTTTGGTCCCAAAAGGCTGAAGCAGCCAGTCATTTGAAATACATACGAAGCAAAGCGGAACGCTTTCCGGCGTGGACACGATGAAAAAAGTGCTTCATCTGGCGGCTTCAATGTGGTGTTGTGGTGGGAGCGAGACAGTGAACCTAGGTAGCAAAAGCAGCGAGCTATTCTCCGTTACCCACTCTCGCGTGGACCAAATCCGTTGGTAACACGAAGGGGAGTCCAAGTGCGCAGGGCGGTGGGAATCAAAGGCATTCTGTCATAGTGCTCGACTGCAGGCTGCATGATTGGATACGGATGCTGCTACCAAGAGACGGTATGCATGGAATCGCAACTTGGCTGATGGGTCGAATGGAAAAATGGTGTGCAAAGACGGCTGTTTACGCCAGGGTGCTAAGCCCCTTGGCTTCTTGGCCTTTTTTTTTTCGATGAATATCTTGGGGGGGGGGAGACGGAGTTGGAACCGTTTCCGAGCATTTAGAGAAGAGATGGGGACGGTCCGGTTGAGTGGTGGTTCTCGGGTGACGATGACCTTGGCGGAGCTCTTGGCGGAGGGAAGCGGCGTCGACGGAAGTGGGGCTTTCCCAGAGGGGAGTGGGGAATGGAATAAGGTAGGGTAGGGGGTTACTGGGGAAGGGGGAAGGAGCAACTCTGGATCCGGACCACCTTGGCTTACCTGCTCTTTCCATCAGCTACCTAGGTACCGTGCCCAATTACATAGGTGGGGTAAGACCGAAAGACAAGACGCGGAGGGAGGGAAGGAGGGAAGGAGGAGGAGGAGGAGGAGGAGGAGGAGGAAGGAATGGCGTGGGGAAGACACACAAACGAAACAGTGACAAACACAAACACGCACACGGTGGAGAGAGACTGGAGATAGAGTTGGCATTGGACCGACTTGGCACGGCACGGATAGTTTGGTACGAAAAAGGCGTCTCCGACCTCCGACACGAAATGATGTGATGCGATGCGGGTGAAGGGCGCGTTTGCTTGGCTGTTCCGGTGTCCGGACGGCCAATTGGGCTCACGGGCGTCACAAGCTGCCAAAACAATCCATACCGAAACATACACATGTATAATGTAAGGCAGTCCACCTAGGCACTCCGTAGCGGCCCGGTAAGACAAAGGGACGAACTGATCACCAGGTCTATATAACATGCTAACTACCGACGTGGTGGGTAATCTACCTATGCAAACCATAATGACATGCCGGGATACCCCCTTTCAGCAGCCCAGCAGGATAAATAAATAAAAACCAACTCGACTGCCAAGCATGCGTACCGAAAGTAAGAGATAGTCAACAAGCAAACTGTAAACTGAGAATTGAGTGCCGGCCTGCCAGCCCGTACTATGACGGCAACAAACGCACACACAATCCTTGCAACTGGCCAGTGACATCATTGGCCGCCTCTTGGCGAATAAGGTTATTTGATGCGGTGCGCCAATTAGACATACGCAGTACAGGTACGGAGTACATGGCATGACAAGATGGATGATGTCGGCTGCGCCATTGGGCGGGGCGTGAACCATCACGTGTCATCGCACCTGCTTCACAGCGAGGGGCACAGGCCTTTTTGCATTTTTCTGTGGGAACTCGAGGCCTATCTGTATTGTGTGATTGGCTGTGGCTTCCCTTGGTCTTTCGACTCCTTCCCTGTTGGCTCTTGCCTTTGGCCCCTGTCGCCTTCCCCTCAGCGTCGGTTTGTAGCGGCTGGAGGTACCTTGCCAGCCAAGATGCACAGCCCAGGTACTTGCGCAGCTTAACGGGCACGCCGCAATTGCACTGCTGCACGATATACGGCGGACTGTAGCGTGTCTTGGCTTCTATGGAAGAAAAAAGAAGAGAAAATATGCCCACAGCGACTACTGCTATTTGGCTGTTTGCGTTGCACCGACCGTATCATACACTCTACTAGTGTAGGTACGGTAGGTAGGTACCTATCCAAGGTAGGTAGGTACATCCCGACTTGTCGCACTTACGCTGGCTGCAGAAAATGGAACAATTCTCGGCTTCGTCTCAACAAAAACAGCCTCCCAAATAACAACAGCAACAATACCCCGACCTCTTCGTCCTTCTCTGTACACGCCTCTCATATGCCCAACTCCAGCATTTCCGCCCCGGGCGCCATGCCGAAGCCAAACATCTTTTACCGACTCACAGGGGAGCTCGCTCCCTGAAGGGTTGAGAGGCTCTACACTTCGACATCTCCCCGACTTCTCCCAGGCCCCTACCTGTTACGTAGAAGTGCACACATAAACCACCCACCCACCTATTTAGGGTAGATAGGTACGGATGTACCAACAACGTTTTGATATCACGTGTACGCGTCAGCTGACCTGTCTTTTTCGCAAGGAATATGTATACATGATGGTCGCTACCAAAGGCTATAACGACACCACCCATTCACCCATGTTGACTCATCACAACACCGAGAGAGAGCGAGCATCGCGTTCCGCCGGCGGAGCGATCGCTCAACTCCGTCCGCTGCCAAGACTTCACCTTGACCAACACCAATCACCAATCGGCCGCGCACACTCGCACACAACACCCAAATACGCCCCCATGAACTCATGTGTGTACAGCCACAGAAGGCATACGCTATCACTAGTGCAACGCCGTTGCCCACACAGACAAGACGAGGCAGAGCGCAATCGGCCGGTCGGCGCGAGCGATGCAGGAAGAGACATCTCCAAACTCCGGACAGCCAACACCTAACGATGGTCTCCGTATCGAACCCCTTTTCCAGGGAAGGCGTTGATGGAGGGATGGCCAGACGAAAGAGAGCAGCCCTGTATTGCTCCGATATCCCAAATCAAGACAAAATGCATTTGTCTCTTCCGAGCAGTGGAAAACTGCGCATGCGATAGACACACGACCCATCGCTCTCGACGGTCCTGCTGCGGCGCGATGTGCGTGTGCCTCGTATAGAAACGGTGGCTAACCCACCGATTGCGACTCCGTTTGCGCCGGCTCTACTTGGCACACCTTGGCAGCTCTTGTCCTATGGCTCAACAACGTTGGCCTGACTCCAACGCGGGATGACGATCGCTGGGGAGGAGACTGGGGCCCGGGGCCAGACATTCCAGACTCCAGAAGTTCCCCGCCACCCGCCAGGGTGCCCATTCAACACACTATACCACTCCGCCGTCCAATTGACCATTCGTGGCCGTTCTCTACGCTCTCCAAGGTATGTCTCTCTGTCTCCCTTTATCAGCAACATCCGCGGGACATAACTGCTATGGGTGGGTTCAAAAAAGCGACCGGGATACCCGTCGGCGCAGGCTATACGGCGAGCGGATGAAAAAGACAAATTCCATCGCCCATAGAGGGGCACGCCGGCGATCCAAACGCGATGCTGATCCCGTCCGGCGCCCGTCCTCGCGCTCACCCCCTTCCTCATGCGAAACGAAGCATCGCTCCCGGCGGCTAAAGAAAAAAAGAAATCATTTTCGATCGACTTACCCCGTCACAACTGTTTTGCAACCACTGTATCCGCGAACGCCCCTCGATCCGATCTCAGTTCCTGCCGGTTTCCGGTATCCTTCACCCTGCTCAACTTTGACACCGTCATAATCTTGCCGGTGGAGTCGCCAAGCGCTTGGTCTCTCGCGACCGCGCAAGATGGTGTGGACCCGGCCAAGTGGCGTAGGATGTTCAACCCAGGAAAACGCCCCTCCGTTTCCTCTTCCTCGGTTTCTAGGCTATCGGCTCGCTCGCTCAGGTCAGAAGAGGTGAGAAACACCACCAGCTCTGGGTTGTACGTTCTTAGCCAAGATTCTTTTTCTGCGCCAAGGCGTTGTCTGTTCGCTATGGTCCCCTGATTCTTCTTCGCCGTCCGACGCTTGGGTCTGATCCTGTCCAAGGAATGCCTCGTGAAGGGCGATGAATACAGATTCTGCTCACTAAGCGTTCGGTGCCGTCACCTTGCACTACCGGCTTTCGCCCCGAACCAGCCCCTCGGGGCCGCTTGACGTGTTCGCCGTCGTCAGACCATCTCAGGCACGCCAGGCTACGGTGGCTGCTACCCGGTAGTGTAAATTAACATCGCCTTCTAGAGGCTACTACACCAGACACGCTTGCGACAATTTTTGGGTAGTCAAGAGAAACCGCCCAGTGGCTACACGTCGCCGGGCGGCTGCAAACAGCTGTGATGCACACCACACCACAAAAACGTGCCTGCAACGATGATCAGTCCTGGCATAGTATCCTAAGCCCTCACCTATCCGTCTTACCCGTCTTGTCTCTGTCTCGTGCTTCTGCCGCTCCACGCAAGGCTTGACTTTTGCTTGTTTTAATTCCTCCATGATCCTGAGTTACGGCACCATGCATGCACCCGAGTCTTGGATGATGGCATCGGCCCCATTTCCAGAGAACCCTTCTTTCTCTACCGGCCTCGCAGGTTACGGGGATGCTCATGCAGAAAGCCCATCTTGGCTTCGAGGCTTGGCCGTGACGCCGTCATCTCACAGGCGAGGCGGGATAAAATAAAACCGGCCTTTGGGATCTTGATCCGGTCAAGGAGGCGAGGAGAGGGGGGGGCCTAGGCCCTGATTCCTCAACTTTCTTTTTGCGTTAACGCCCTCCTCTCTACCAACGAGTCCCATGAATTCTTGTTCCTCTTGTGTCTTTTTTCTTGGCCTTGGCGATGCTAACCAACAGCCGTACTTGACGTTGCTGTACTAGCTCTTTGCCAAGATCGGGGGCGATCTGCTGAAACGGTGTTAAAAGAAGAACGCCCTCTTCGCCCGCGGGATCGCCATCTCAGGGTTCCTCTCTCTGTCTCGCCACACCTGATTTGTTGACAGGTCCGAGATACCGGAGCATTGTAGATTCCCGAGATTATGAGATTGCCATTGGTCTTTGCGTCGGGGGGGCCAAACTTCGGCCGAGAGTATTGATTGAGTAACGATATCAGGGTCGATTAGCCGGCCGAACTTACACGGGTTGGCGGAGATGAACCCGAGAGGCAGGTTGCTCTGTGGATGTTCCCGATTGCCCTATCCATTGAGTGTTGAGACACTTCATCATCTTGGTTATCATGCTGGCGGGAATGGCAACATCGTAAACTATGGGGTAATATTGCTCAAGTACGTGATTTGTAACTTGTAAATTGGGGATAGCTCATCAGTCATGACCCCCGTCGATACTGTCACAAACCCTCTTGAACCAGATCTAGTCACTCCCTGAGTCCCTGTGTCTTCCAACCCGTAGATCTAGTATTGGCAGAATTGGTAGTTTGGAGACACTCTCCTCAACCTCAGCAACAAACAAGTTAGACGGAAGCTATTGACTACTCACGACAGCCGTTCGATGGGTCAGCTTATATGACCTTGACACACCGATCAAAGTCTATGTTAGAATGGATCTTGGCAGCGCATGCACGCGTCTGGCGACGGCTGCGATCAACCACAGCAAACGCACAAGAGGCATATCACCATACGACCTGGGGCTCTCCTTGGTGAAATGGATTCTGATGCCGTTCTAAGGTTGAGACTGATCTACGGTGCTGTGCGTCGGGTCACAACTACCGCGTGCCGAGAGCCAGACTACGAATAAGAACCGCGTCAATTGTAGGAAAAGTCTGGGCAAGGAAACAACGTTTGTGCTTGCCTAGGTGATCTCATCCTGTCCAACAAATAGTGCAGTCCCTCAAAGTCTTTCATCGACACTGATGTCTGTACTGCATAATGACGTAGTGTTGCCATCGAACATGCTCCAGA